AACTAAAAGCCATCATTTCAGGGTTTGAATCTACTATAGTGGTAAACCTTCCTCTAGAAATCAGACTAAATCAAACACCTACTCATATCCTGGTTTATTGTGTGATTATTAATGTTTTACGTCGCTGGCCGTGCAGAATTGGATCAATTCCAAAAAAGTTTAAAAACAATCCACTCGACTTTGTTTCCAAAGCTTCCCATCCAGGAAGCTTTTTCGATTCAAATGTCAAAAATAGCATTAAGTTCCAGGCTTTACAGACATATATCTATATGGGATGAAATACTAACTGATGCTACTACAATTTACACTGATGAGTGCGGTGGCCATGGCCACTGATAGGTGGAGTGCCTCTAAAAATAATTAAAGAAATTAAACAGACCCATTATACAGATAGAGAAATGGTAACAGAATAGATATCCATTATTTGTTCTTGTCAGGATTTGGTTGTGGTTTGAGGACACAAATGCAGAGGCAGGGAGGCAGAGGTGAGCTTTTGTAGATTTAATGTGGGGTAAACAAACAACAGGACCTGCTGACAACAGGCAGGAATCCAAAAGATCCAACAATAAAAAAGTTAAGCCAGAAACCAATCATGACGAGGTAAGACTCAGAAAGACGGAGTTGGAGGAAGTTAGACGAGGAACCAGCACTCAGGTCCTGCATAAGGAGAGTATTTATGGGAGACTGAAACAAAGAGAGGACTAACGAGCAGATTGGGAGCAGGTGTGAACAGAGCAGACAGGAAAGGAGCTAGGGAAATAGGAGAACACAAGAGGGCAGCAGAGGGCAACACATAAAAACCTGAAAACTGAAAAATAACCAGAAAAAAACAACGAAATAAGAATTAAACCACTAAAACTAGAAAACATGGAGCAAAGTAAAACTGAATACAAAAGAAAAACATAACAGAACCAAGACTGTGACAGTTCTAGATTTTGTCCCTCTCTTCTTGTCCCTTTTGTTGTTGTTTTAGTCTTTATGTTTTGTACTCAGCTGACTGAGGTAATGACTGATTGCTTTAAATAATACAAAGGAAGGTTGGAAATGAAAACAGGAAAGGATAATAACTATTCTACGGTCGGGACATACAGGATTTAATTTATTGTTACAGTTAACAGGGAAACATCAGACAGGAAGCTGTGACGTCTGTAAGAAACTGAAACAATAGAACATGTAGGAAATATTATAGACCAGAGGTCTTCAACAGGGGGTACGTGACCCCTAGGGGGTCCACGGAGGTACTGCATGGGGGTCACAAAAGTTTTGGTTGATTTGACTTTTTTCTTTTATATCCCCCCTCCCCTGCAATTTTTTTCCACTAATTGAAATGTCTTTAAATCCACATGAACATGAATCCAACAGACTGTAGTAAACATAAATGGAGGCAGAAGATGTCTTTCAGTCATCAATGCTCACATTCAGAGAGACACATTAAGCTGGGCACCGTTTCATTCACAACACCTGTCCCATCAACCAGGAATCAGAAATACTTGGGGAGGGAATCCTTTAGTTACATTACTCCATCTGTAATAGAGTGACTATAGGACCAGTTTGATAGAACACTATTTTATAGATATATATACATAATTAGGGGGTCCCCACTCCATCGCCATCGGTTTGGGCCCCTTGGCCTGGAAAACCCTGAGGACCCCTGTCATAGACAAATAACACAACTGAGAATGAGTCAAACAGGAAAAAGAGCAGATTAGTCTCATAAACACTTTAAGGAAAATTAATTACGACGCAATCTATTAGATTATATTTTATTATTTATTGTAAACAGGATTAGTGAGAAAAATATAATTTTTTCCTTTTTTTTTAGCGTGTCTGTCCTCCTGATCCACACTCCTTGCTGCTTGGTGGCGGTAATGCATCAATAGTTGCACCGCCATTAAAATTAAGAAGAAGAAGAAGAAGAAGAAAACGAAGGAAGCAGAAGAAGAAGATAGCGCGGAAGGGTCTCATTGGCCCCGGAGGATTGCATGTGGATGGTCGTTTGGTGCATGGCGCGTGTTTTGAAGCTGCTTATGGAGAAATGTCTTGGGCCGTGAGTAGTGAGGAAACAGGAAGCGATTCTTGTGGGATGGAAGAGGGAAATAGTGACAATGAAGGTTGGAAGATAGCAACATCAAAAAATGAGAAAAAGCGGAAAAAACAGAGATCAGTTCAAGGGGAATCTAGTTCAGAACAATCCAGTGATGATCATTCCATACATTCCACAGCACAACAAAATGAATTCAAAGTCATATTCAAAGTCGTTAATCAGGCAGACTCTTTTACAAATTGGAATCCGGTTCACTTAACAAAAACCATCAATAAACTTGTCGGAGAAGTCAGAGGTGCCAGAATTCTGTACAGTGGAGACCTGCTAATTAACTGCAGAGACAGCGCCCAGCAAGGCAAAGCAATACGGATCAACAAAATTGACGGGATAAGAGTTCAGTGCAGCCTAATGGAGAACAAAAAGATCAGCAGGGGAGTCATTGGAGGAGTTCCTCTAAAAATTTCTGAAAAAGAGATTCTGGAAAACATAAGCGGTGCAAAAGTAAAAGAAGTAAAACGGTTAAAAACAACAAGAAACGGAGAAAGATCTGACAGTTTATCAGTGCTAATTAAATTTGAGGAAGAGCAATTACCAAGCAAAGTATTCATCGGTTACATAAGCTATAATGTCAAAATCTACAATCCTCCACCATTGAGATGTTTCAAATGCCAAAAATTCGGTCACATTGCAGCAGTTTGTAAAGGGAAACAGAGGTGTGGAAGGTGTGCAGGAGAACATGAGTACGGAAAATGTGGAAAAGAAGCTAAAATAAAATGCTGTAATTGTGGTGGAGAACATACTGCTGCCTATCGCGGCTGTGAAGCAAGCAAAAGGTCTGAGGAAATTAAAAAAATGAAATTTGAGCTCGGAATAACCTACGCTGAAGCTGCAAAAAGGATCCCATCTCAGTCAGAAAAACCCAAACCTACAGTTCAACACACGGCAAATTCCAAACCTCTAGAGAATCAAAAAATTGATGAAGACTCACTTATTGTTAAAAAGACAAATTTTGTTCTTTTCATGGTAGAAGTAATTAATTGTACTGCACAGACAACAAAAAAAAACGGAAAAAATCAAAATAATAGTGAAGGCTGCAGAAAAATATCTGGACATTAAAGATTTGAACTGGGAGATGGTTGGAAGTATGATGGGAGGACCGATGGGACCATCAGAAACTGGCAGAGTTAAGATGACCTAGAGTAAATTAAAAATTATATGGGCAAATGTGATTTAGTATTATGTTGGTTTAAGTTACACAGGTTTTTTTTTTTTTTTTTTTTTTTTTTTTTTTTTTTTTTTTTTGGGGGGGGGGGGGGGGGGGGGTGAATCGTTTTCTGTTTTCTTGCTTTACTCCATATCAGTTGGTGGCGGTAATGCACAATTCACAAGTCTGCCAACCGCCATAAAACCCCATTAGAAGAAGAAGAAGAAGAAGATAGCGCGGAAGGGTCTCATTGGCCCCGGAGGATTGCATGTGGATGGTCGTTTGGTGCATGGCGCGTGTTTTGAAGCTGCTTATGGAGAAATGTCTTGGGCCGTGAGTAGTGAGGAAACAGGAAGCGATTCTTGTGGGATGGAAGAGGGAAATAGTGACAATGAAGGTTGGAAGATAGCAACATCAAAAAATGAGAAAAAGCGGAAAAAACAGAGATCAGTTCAAGGGGAATCTAGTTCAGAACAATCCAGTGATGATCATTCCATACATTCCACAGCACAACAAAATGAATTCAAAGTCATATTCAAAGTCGTTAATCAGGCAGACTCTTTTACAAATTGGAATCCGGTTCACTTAACAAAAACCATCAATAAACTTGTCGGAGAAGTCAGAGGTGCCAGAATTCTGTACAGTGGAGACCTGCTAATTAACTGCAGAGACAGCGCCCAGCAAGGCAAAGCAATACGGATCAACAAAATTGACGGGATAAGAGTTCAGTGCAGCCTAATGGAGAACAAAAAGATCAGCAGGGGAGTCATTGGAGGAGTTCCTCTAAAAATTTCTGAAAAAGAGATTCTGGAAAACATAAGCGGTGCAAAAGTAAAAGAAGTAAAACGGTTAAAAACAACAAGAAACGGAGAAAGATCTGACAGTTTATCAGTGCTAATTAAATTTGAGGAAGAGCAATTACCAAGCAAAGTATTCATCGGTTACATAAGCTATAATGTCAAAATCTACAATCCTCCACCATTGAGATGTTTCAAATGCCAAAAATTCGGTCACATTGCAGCAGTTTGTAAAGGGAAACAGAGGTGTGGAAGGTGTGCAGGAGAACATGAGTACGGAAAATGTGGAAAAGAAGCTAAAATAAAATGCTGTAATTGTGGTGGAGAACATACTGCTGCCTATCGCGGCTGTGAAGCAAGCAAAAGGTCTGAGGAAATTAAAAAAATGAAATTTGAGCTCGGAATAACCTACGCTGAAGCTGCAAAAAGGATCCCATCTCAGTCAGAAAAACCCAAACCTACAGTTCAACACACGGCAAATTCCAAACCTCTAGAGAATCAAAAAATTGATGAAGACTCACTTATTGTTAAAAAGACAAATTTTGTTCTTTTCATGGTAGAAGTAATTAATTGTACTGCACAGACAACAAAAAAAACGGAAAAAATCAAAATAATAGTGAAGGCTGCAGAAAAATATCTGGACATTAAAGATTTGAACTGGGAGATGGTTGGAAGTATGATGGGAGGACCGATGGGACCATCAGAAACTGGCAGAGTTAAGATGACCTAGAGTAAATTAAAAATTATATGGGCAAATGTGATTTAGTATTATGTTGGTTTAAGTTACACAGGTTTTTTTTTTTTTTTTTTTTTTTTTTTTTTTTTTTTTTTTTGGGGGGGGGGGGGGGGGGTGAATCGTTTTCTGTTTTCTTGCTTTACTCCATATCAGTTGGTGGCGGTAATGCACAATTCACAAGTCTGCCAACCGCCATAAAACCCCATTAGAAGAAGAAGAAGAAGAAGATAGCGCGTTTCCGGTACTAGCAGAGCTCTGCTATTGTTGCTCTACGTGCTGGTTTTCTAAATTCATTCCGTTTGGTTGATGAAATCCCAATAAACTGCAGACATACATATATCTATCGACTTTGAGGGGAATTGCCTCCTAAAAGGTCCAATATTTGGATCCTATTAGCCCCGCATGTTGGTTTGTAGCGGTTTGCTCCGACATAAGCCGCCATGGACGTCCCTACCCCCCCTGAAGGTAAGCTAGCTGCTACCATGCTAGCTGTAGCTGCTAACTGTTTAACCTGCTTCTTCTTCTTCAGTTTAAATGAGGGATGGAGGTTTTCCAGCTGCTGTCTCTGCCTCATAGCTGCTGAATTCTGCTGTTTCGCATAGATGTGTTTGAGTAGAAGTGTTGCACTGATTAGAAATACCAGCATAAAAGATACTAAATTCAAACCAAATCATAAAGCATATAAATTAAAGTAATGTTTTCCTTTCTTTCATTTAACTGATTTTAATAAACCCAAATATGTTAGAAAATACCACTGCTTTAGTGTAAATTAATTCATTACAGGTTTACAGCATTAACTTTTAAATTTTTATTTATTTTGTCTCTTAGCAGGTACAGCTTCTTTCTGGTTTAGACGTAAAAAGTTTTCTTCACGGAGTTTAAGATGCTTATACTGCAAAAACGACCTGGAAATAAGTCAAAATGTCTTAAATTAAGTTTATTTACCCTTAATGTGAGATGATCTGCCAATGGAATGAGGATTTTTACTCTTAAACTAAAATAAGTCGATAATATCCTCTTGGAATAAGACAATGTAATTGTTTTTTTTCTTATTTTAAATGTAAATGTTCTTGTTCCGTTGGCAAAGTGTCTCACTTTCCTCCGCAATTCAAGAATAAATGCTCTTATTTAGATTTCAATTATTTGCAGTATAAAGAGAAGTTGAGTGGAATCCTCTTTCAGCCTTTTATCTGAGCCCATTGATTATGATAGAAATAGAAAAGGATTTATATAAATTAGATTTAGTGAAGAAGGTGATTTTATTGTGATATCCTTCTGACTTTCTTTTTTTCTTTCGTAGACCAAGAGCTAAGGAACGTGATCGACAAGCTGGCCCAGTTTGTTGCTCGAAATGGACCGGAGTTTGAAAAGATGACGATGGAAAAGCAGAAGGACAATCCCAAATTCTCCTTCCTGTTTGGGGGAGAACATTTCGGCTACTACAAGTGCAGGCTTGCTATGGAGCAACAGCAGCGTATGTATTTTTCATGCATGCAGGCGCTGCATTAGACCCCAGCTGTGTTCTTAACTTAACTTACTTGGTGCTGTTCAGCCTTGGTGTTAATAATAATAATAATAGATAATAATTTAACTTTATGATGTCATATTGGATAAATTCACCCTCTGCATTTAACCCATCCACTTGGGGAGCGGTGGGCTGCCATTGTGCGGCGCCCGGGGAGCAGTGTGAGTTTAAGGGTCCTACTCACCGACCCAGAGTGGAGGCTGTGGGGATCGAATCGGGCACTGCAACCTTCTCAGAGCACAGGGTACTGCTCTATCCACTGGGCCAGAGGTCATGGATCAGCAGACCGCAGTCCGGATCCGGATCCACCTGCTGGATAATCCGGACCCAACCTGATTTAAAACATTTATAATTACTGCATGTTGTCCGACAGCAGTGTCTAATTTCACTTGCTCCTCTTCTCCTGTTAATACGGTAAAGCCCTGGGGAGCGTCCGGCTCTAGGCTGCACGTGATCCAAATGAGCCAATGAGCTGTCAGTCTGGGTTGCTGCTGCTGCTACTTTTAGACACAGCAGGCAAACCTGTGGCAAGCCGGGCGATGGGAAAGAAGGAGAAGACCATGAGAAAAAGAGAGCAGAGAAAGTGTGGACTGCTGGAAGAACTGTGGTGAACTGGTGAAAGAAAAGTGAAATGGCGTGCTCAAAGATGACCCTGCACATTTAGAGGATGTTTGGCTCAACCTGCTGCTGTGAAGCAGGATTCTCCACCATGAACAGAATCAACAATAAATCTGGATCCAGGCTCAAAATGAGCTCCTTGATATGTGCTTGAGAATAGGGCTGCAACTAACGATTATTTTAAAAATCGATGAATCGGACGATTATTTTTTCGATTAATCGATGAATCGGACAAAAAATATTTTTTATATTAACCTCTTTATTCCAAAATAAACATTTTAGACAAAACAAACAAGCACACAAGTACAGGTTGCTCATTAACTGTACTGGTGCAATATGAAAAATAAATGTTTGTGTTAAAACTACGCAAACTTACATGAGAAATGTAGCTGTACATCCACAAAATATAGGCTACTTTGTTTCATAAAGCGCAAAATAAGACATTTTTGTTTTTAAAGCCCCTAAGGGGTTCAAACAATAGGCCCCCCCATTTCAACAAATTAGTTTTTTTAGACTAGAAGAGTTCTGCCTTTTAAGACAGGAAAGTATAGCAGTTAAAGTTGCTACTTGAGAAAATACTGAACCATAGAGATAAAAATAGCCCTGTGATTCAAATTATAAATTGTATTTGGAATAAAAATGAGAGAACTAGGGGTGCTAAAAAACACATCCTCCAAAGACAGATATTTACATGGGAATGTGGCAGATAATTAATTGACATATTACTGATCTTGCTGGATTTTATTCTGCTTTACTTCCATAAATTGCAGGATCTTCTTTACTTTATCTTTGCCAGAATATTTAAACTTTAAAAGCCTTGCCCTCATAATTTGCAAGTTAATTTATTTATAAAGTAAATGTAAACGCTGCTTAAGCTAATTCAAATGAAATGAAAAGTAAAATAAGTAGCCAACCTTATCACTGTCTGTAACCTACTAACACGGTAAGGAAAGCATCAGATGAGCTACCTGAGAAACTAACGTTACGTTTCCCCACTTTAAAACCAAACAAACATGGTGGTTCCGTGCCATGTTAATTTCTTTTGAAAAAAGTTGCATGTTATCACTTTTTTCGCTTTACAAAGCGCAGGCTATTTTAATTATTGTGATTAATTTGCGCCGTCAATCCCGGTGCATGCGCGCTTCATTTGCAGTCTGGACGCTGAGGCTCTGACTGCAGCGCTGAGAGGGACTCCTGCGGGAGAACGGGGTTAGGATGGGGGAGGCGCCCCACGGCAGAGTAGGAACGATACATGCTTTCACGTAAGAGTCTCCAAAAGCCGCCAGTGACACCGTAAAAAGTCGCCAGATTTGTCGCTAGTCGCCTTTTTGAAAAATAGTCGCTGGAGGGGTCTGAAAAGTTGCTGAGTTGGCAACACTGCACCTGCGGCGCTGACTCGCTCTGCCATATTTTTTTTTCTTCCTCTTTCAGTCAAGAGGCAGTGATGACGGCGCGGCGGATGACGCAATAATCGCGCGACACAACTAATCGATGATGAAATTCGTTGCCAACGCTTTTAAAAGTCGATTTTTATCGATTTTATCGATTCGTTGTTGCAGCCCTACTTGAGAATGGCTTAGTCTCCATTCAAACCCAGGTTTAAAGCCTTGCAGGGCAGCCTAAAGCCCACTGCCAACATTAAGACAGAAAAAAGAAAGAAAATAACAAACCATCAGTTCAGGGGTTTGAGAAATGATGGGAATCAGGAAACTGTCTATATACCAATATGATATACCATATGATTTTCTTTATTCGGACCCAGCTGATTTTTAATTGGTTACCGCTGATCTAGACCAACAATCCTGATTATGATTGCAATGGTGCGTTCCATTTGTCTGAAGAAGTCCGATTTTCCAGATTGGAAATTTTGGCAGGAATTTCGCCCAAACTTTGGAATTTAAACCAATCAGGTCAGAGTACCAGGAGCAGACCATATGGTTTGTTACGTTCCTTATATCACACAGAAGCAACATTAACTGAATATCATTAACTACAGGTGCTGGTCATAAAATTAGAATATCATGAAAAAGTAGATTGATTTCAGTAATTCCATTTAAAAAGTGAAACTTGTATATTATATTCATACATTACATACAAACTCATATATTTCAGATGTTTATTTTGTTTAATTTTGATGATTACAAATGACAACAAATGAAAATCTCAAATTCATCATATCAGAAAATTAGAATATTACTGAAGACCAATAAAAACAAAGGATTTATAGAAATGTTGGCCAACTGAAAAGTATGAACATGAAAAGTATGAGCATGTACAGCACTCAGTATTTAGTTGGGCCTCCTTTGGCCTGTATTACTGCAGCAATGCGGCGTGGCATGGAGTCGATCAGTCTGTGGCACTGCTCAGGTGTTATGATAGCCCAGGTTGCTCTAATAGTGGCTTTTAGCTCTTCTGAATTGTTGGGTCTGGTGTATTGCATCTTCTTCTTCACAATACCCCATAGATTTTCTATGGGGTTAAGGTCAGGAGAGTTTGCTGGCCAATTAAGAACAGGGATACCATGGTCCTTCAACCAGGTACTGGTAGCTTTGGCACTGTGTGCAGGTGCCAAGTCCTGTTGGAAAATGAAATCTGCATCTCCAAAAAGTTGGTCAGCTGCAGGAAGCATGAAGTGCTCTAAAACTTCCTGGTATGTGGCTGCGTTGACCCTGGACCTCAGAAAACACAATGGACCAACACCAGCAGATGACATGGCACCCCAAACCATCACTGACTGTGGAAACTTTACACTGGACTTCAAGCAACGTGGATGAAGTGCCTCTCTTCTTTTCCTCCAGACTCTGGGACCTTGATTTCCAAAGGAAATGCAAAATTTACTTTCATCAGAGAACATGACTTTGGACCACTCACCAGCAGTCCAGTCCTGTTTCTCTTTAGACGCTTCTGACGCTGTCTGTGGTTCAAGAGTGGCTTGACACAAGGAATGCGACAGCAGAAACCCATGTCTTTCATACGTCTGTGTGTGGTGGTTCTTGAAGCACTCACTCCAGCTGCAGTCCACTCTTTGTGAATCTCCCCCACATTTTTGAAGGGGTTTTGTTTCACAATCCTCTCCAGGGTGCGGTTATCTCTCTTGCTTGTGCACTTTTTTCAACCACATCTTTTCCTTCCCTTCGCCTCTCTATTAATGTGCTTGGACACTGAGCTCTGTGAACAGCCAGCCTCTTTAGCGATGACCTTTTGTGTCTTGCCCTCCTTGTGCAAGGTGTCGATGGTCGTCTTTTGGACAACTGTCAAGTCAGCAGTCTTCCCCATGATTGTGTAGCCTATAGAACTAGACTGAAAGACCATTTAAAGGCTTTTGCAGGTGGTTTGAGTTAATTAGCTGATTAGAGTGTGGCACCAGGGGCCATCAATTTTGAACCTTTTCACAATATTCTAATTTTCTGATATGATGAATTTGAGATTTTCATTTGTTGTCATTTGTAATCATCAAAATTAAACAAAATAAACATCTGAAATATATGAGTTTGTATGTAATGTATGAATATAATATACAAGTTTCACTTTTTAAATGGAATTACTGAAATCAATCTACTTTTTCATGATATTCTAATTTTATGACCAGCACCTGTATGTGCAACACGACCAAGCTTTTAATTGGATTGTTACTTTTGCTCATCTAATTTTAAATTATTAAGAGGCCAACGTTGTTCTTTGGTTTGTTTTTAATGGTTATTAAAAGGCCAACGTTGTTCTTTGGTTTGTTTTTAATGGTTATTAAAAGGCCAACGTTGTTCTTTGGTTTGTTTTTAATGGTTATTAAAAGGCCAACGTTGTTCTTTGGTTTGTTTTTAATGGTTATTTAAAGATCAACGTTGTTCTTTGGTTTGTTTTTAATGGTTATTAAAAGGCCAACGTTGTTCTTTGGTTTGTTTTTAATGGTTATTAAAAGGCCAACGTTGTTCTTTGGTTTGTTTTTAATGGTTATTAAAAGGCCAACGTTGTTCTTTGGTTTGTTTTTAATGGTTATTAAAAGGCCAACGTTGTTCTTTGGTTTGTTTTTAATGGTTATTAAAAGGCCAACGTTGTTCTTTGGTTTGTTTTTAATGGTTATTAAAAGGCCAACGTTCTTCTTTGGTTTGTTTTTAATGGTTATTAAAAGGCCAACGTTGTTCTTTGGTTTGTTTTTAATGGTTATTAAAAGGCCAACGTTCTTCTTTGGTTTGTTTTTAATGGTTATTAAAAGGCCAACGTTCTTCTTTGGTTTGTTTTTAATGGTTATTAAAAGGCCAACGTTGTTCTTTGGTTTGTTTTTAATGGTTATTTAAAGATCAACGTTGTTCTTTGGTTTGTTTTTAATGGTTATTAAAAGGCCAACGTTCTTCTTTGGTTTGTTTTTAATGGTTATTAAAAGGCCAACGTTCTTCTTTGGTTTGTTTTTAATGGTTATTTAAAGACCAACGTTGTTCTTTGGTTTGTTTTTAATGGTTATTAAAAGGCCAACGTTGTTCTTTGGTTTGTTTTTAATGGTTATTAAAAGACCAACGTTGTTCTTTGGTTTGTTTTTAATGGTTATTAAAAGGCCAACGTTGTTCTTTGGTTTGTTTTTAATGGTTATTAAAAGGCCAACGTTCTTCTTTGGTTTGTTTTTAATGGTTATTAAAAGGCCAACGTTGTTCTTTGGTTTGTTTTTAATGGTTATTAAAAGGCCAACGTTCTTCTTTGGTTTGTTTTTAATGGTTATTAAAAGGCCAACGTTCTTCTTTGGTTTGTTTTTAATGGTTATTGAAAGGCCAACGTTGTTCTTTGGTTTGTTTTTAATGGTTATTAAAAGGCCAACGTTCTTCTTTGGTTTGATTTTAATGGTTATTAAAAGGCCAACGTTCTTCTTTGGTTTGTTTTTAATGGTTATTAAAAGGCCAACGTTGTTCTTTGGTTTGTTTTTAATGGTTATTAAAAGGCCAACGTTGTTCTTTGGTTTGTTTTTAATGGTTATTAAAAGGCCAACGTTCTTCTTTGGTTTGTTTTTAATGGTTATTAAAAGGCCAACGTTCTTCTTTGGTTTGTTTTTAATGGTTATTAAAAGGCCAACGTTCTTCTTTGGTTTGTTTTTAATGGTTATTAAAAGGCCAACGTTGTTCTTTGGTTTGTTTTTAATGGTTATTAAAAGGCCAACGTTGTTCTTTGGTTTGTTTTTAATGGTTATTAAAAGGCCAACGTTGTTCTTTGGTTTGTTTTTAATGGTTATTAAAAGGCCAACGTTGTTCTTTGGTTTGTTTTTAATGGTTATTAAAAGGCCAACGTTCTTCTTTGGTTTGTTTTTAATGGTTATTAAAAGGCCAACGTTCTTCTTTGGTTTGATTTTAATGGTTATTAAAAGGCCAACGTTCTTCTTTGGTTTGTTTTTAATGGTTATTAAAAGGCCAACGTTGTTCTTTGGTTTGTTTTTAATGGTTATTAAAAGATCAACGTTGTTCTTTGGTTTGTTTTTAATCGTTATTAAAAGGCCAACGTTCTTCTTTGGTTTGTTTTTAATGGTTATTAAAAGGCCAACGTTCTTCTTTGGTTTGTTTTTAATGGTTATTAAAAGGCCAACGTTGTTCTTTGGTTTGTTTTTAATGGTTATTTAAAGATCAACGTTGTTCTTTGGTTTGTTTTTAATGGTTATTAAAAGGCCAACGTTCTTCTTTGGTTTGTTTTTAATGGTTATTAAAAGGCCAACATTGTTCTTTGGTTTGTTTTTAATGGTTATTAAAAGGCCAACGTTGTTCTTTGGTTTGTTTTTAATGGTTATTAAAAGTCCAACGTTCTCCCATGGTTTGTTTTTAATGGTTATTATAAGGCCAACGTTCTTCTTTGGTTTGTTTTTAATGGTTATTAAAAGGCCAACGTTGTTCTTTGGTTTGTTTTTAATGGTTATTAAAAGGCCAACGTTGTTCTTTGGTTTGTTTTTAATGGTTATTAAAAGGCCAACGTTGTTCTTTGGTTTGTTTTTAATGGTTATTAAAAGGCCAACGTTGTTCTTTGGTTTGTTTTTAATGGTTATTAAAAGGCCAACGTTCTTCTTTGGTTTGTTTTTAATGGTTATTAAAAGGCCAACGTTCTTCTTTGGTTTGTTTTTAATGGTTATTAAAAGGCCAACGTTCTTCTTTGGTTTGTTTTTAATGGTTATTAAAAGGCCAACGTTCTTCTTTGGTTTGTTTTTAATGGTTATTAAAAGGCCAACGTTGTTCTTTGGTTTGTTTTTAATGGTTATTTAAAGATCAACGTTGTTCTTTGGTTTGTTTTTAATGGTTATTAAAAGGCCAACGTTGTTCTTTGGTTTGTTTTTAATGGTCATTAAAAGGCCAACGTTCTTCTTTGGTTTGTTTTTAATGGTTATTAAAAGGCCAACGTTCTTCTTTGGTTTGATTTTAATGGTTATTAAAAGGCCAACGTTCTTCTTTGGTTTGTTTTTAATGGATATTAAAAGGCCAACGTTCTTCTTTGGTTTGTTTTTAATGGTTATTAAAAGGCCAACGTTCTTCTTTGGTTTGTTTTTAATGGTTATTAAAAGGCCAACGTTGTTCTTTGGTTTGTTTTTAATGGTTATTAAAAGGCCAACGTTGTTCTTTGGTTTGTTTTTAATGGTTATTTAAAGATCAACGTTGTTCTTTGGTTTGTTTTTAATGGTTATTAAAAGGCCAACGTTCTTCTTTGGTTTGTTTTTAATGGTTATTAAAAGGCCAACGTTCTTCTTTGGTTTGTTTTTAATGGTTATTAAAAGGCCAACGTTCTTCTTTGGTTTGTTTTTAATGGTTATTAAAAGGCCAACGTTCTTCTTTGGTTTGTTTTTAATGGTTATTTAAAGATCAACGTTGTTCTTTGGTTTGTTTTTAATGGATATTAAAAGGCCAACGTTCTTCTTTGGTTTGTTTTTAATGGTTATTAAAAGGCCAACGTTCTTCTTTGGTTTGTTTTTAATGGTTATTAAAAGGCCAACGTTCTTCTTTGGTTTGTTTTTAATGGTTATTAAAAGGCCAACGTTCTTCTTTGGTTTGATTTTAATGGTTATTAAAAGGCCAACGTTCTTCTTTGGTTTGTTTTTAATGGATATTAAAAGGCCAACGTTCTTCTTTGGTTTGTTTTTAATGATTATTAAAAGGCCAACGTTCTTCTTTGGTTTGTTATTAATGGTTATTAAAAGGCCAACGTTGTTCTTTGGTTTGATTTTAATGGTTATTAAAAGGCCAACGTTGTTCTTTGGTTTGTTATTAATGGTTATTAAAAGGCCAACGTTGTTCTTTGGTTTGTTTTTAATGGTTATTAAAAGGCCAACGTTGTTCTTTGGTTTGTTTTTAATGGTTATTAAAAGGCCAACGTTGTTCTTTGGTTTGTTTTTAATGGTTATTAAAAGGCCAACGTTCTTCTTTGGTTTGTTTTTAATGGATATTAAAAGGCCAACGTTCTTCTTTGGTTTGTTTTTAATGGTTATTTAAAGATCAACGTTGTTCTTTGGTTTGTTTTTAATGGTTATTAAAAGGCCAACGTTCTTCTTTGGTTTGTTTTTAATGGTTATTAAAAGGCCAACGTTCTTCTTTGGTTTGTTTTTAATGGTTATTAAAAGGCCAACGTTGTTCTTTGGTTTGTTTTAATGGTTATTAAAAGGCCAACGTTGTTCTTTGGTTTGTTTTTAATGGTTATTAAAAGGCCAACGTTCTTCTTTGGTTTGTTTTTAATGGTTATTAAAAGGCCAACGTTGTTCTTTGGTTTGTTTTTAATGGTTATTAAAGGCCAACGTTCTTCTTTGGTTTGTTTTTAATGGTTATTAAAAGGCCAACGTTCTTCTTTGGTTTGTTTTTAATGGTTATTAAAAGTCCAACGTTGTTCTTTGGTTTGTTTTTAATGGTTATTAAAAGGCCAACGTTGTTCTTTGGTTTGTTTTTAATGGTTATTAAAAGGCCAACGTTCTTCTTTGGTTTGTTTTTAATGGTTATTAAAAGGCCAACGTTCTTCTTTGGTTTGTTTTTAATGGTTATTAAAAGGCCAACGTTCTTCTTTGGTTTGTTTTTAATGGTTATTAAAAGGCCAACGTTCTTCTTTGGTTTGTTTTTAATGGTTATTTAAAGATCAACGTTGTTCTTTGGTTTGTTTTTAATGGTTATTAAAAGGCCAACGTTCTTCTTTGGTTTGTTTTTAATGGTTATTAAAAGGCCAACGTTCTTCTTTGGTTTGATTTTAATGGTTATTAAAAGGCCAACGTTGTTCTTTGGTTTGTTATTAATGGTTATTAAAAGGCCAATGTTGTTCTTTGGTTTGTTTTTAATGGTCATTAAAAGGCCAACGTTCTTCTTTGGTTTGTTTTTAATGGATATTAAAAGGCCAACGTTCTTCTTTGGTTTGTTTTTAATGGTTATTAAAAGGCCAACGTTCTTCTTTGGTTTGTTTTTAATGGTTATTAAAAGGCCAACGTTCTTCTTTGGTTTGTTTTTAATGGTTATTAAAAGGCCAACGTTCTTCTTTGGTTTGATTTTAATGGTTATTAAAAGGCCAACGTTCTTCTTTGGTTTGTTTTTAATGGATATTAAAAGGCCAACGTTCTTCTTTGGTTTGTTTTTAATGATTATTAAAAGGCCAACGTTCTTCTTTGGTTTGTTATTAATGGTTATTAAAAGGCCAACGTTCTTCTTTGGTTTGTTTTAACAGATATGTTTAACCCTGGAAGCAAAGACCTGCTGGACATTCCGCCTCCTCCATCGATGCAGCTGGTTCCTCCTCCTCCGGTTGCTCTGTCAGCTTCACCCTCTATAGATGAACTCATCCAGCAAAGCCAGTGGAATCTGCAGCAACAAGAGCAGCACCTCTACACTCTCAGACAGGTAGTAAAACAAGGAGAGGCCCCGATGTTTATGGTCAGCATCAGGGATGGTATGAAACTCTGCCTTCATGGCGTTAAAGACGCATATTGATATGCTTTGATGTAAGCTGCTTGTTTTAATGAGCTTTCGGCTCCGTTAGCTTCACAGATCTATGCTTGCAATTAGTAACAGACTAAAGTAGGGGTGTGGGGAAAAATAGCTTTGGCGATATATTGTGATTTTTGGCTGCCCTATATAATATCGATTCTTCAGTTCCTGATATCGATTTGAAAAAAACAAAACCTTTTAACCCAAAACAATAAGAAAAAAAAGGATTCTTTTCTGTGTGTTCTTTTCTGTCACCACTGGCTGCATTTAATCGAAACGTTGTCTTCAGGAGCAAGTGACGGCTGCCATCGCCCTGGCAATGGAGCAGCAGATTCAGAAGCTTCTGGTAGAAACTCAGCTGGACATCACAGAGTTTGACAACCTGCTGCAGCCCATCATTGACACCTGCACTAAAGACGCCATCTCTGTAAGCCTCACATGCTGCGGGTCTGCAGGGCGTCTCCGTTTGGCTCCCACATCCTAACTCTGATGCTCTTTCTGCTCTCAGGCCGGTAAAAACTGGATGTTCAACAACGCCAAGGGTCCACAGCATTGTGAATTGATGGCGTCGCATCTCCGGAACCGCATCACCATCGACGGCGCACACTTCGAGCTCCGCCTGCACCTCATCTATTTAACCAACGATGTTCTCCATCACTGGTAGGGTTTCACTTTAACATTATAGTATATAGCGCCTAATCTAAAGAAAGAAACTACTAAAATATAGATAAACATGGTTTAATCAGATTTACGGCTCTGATGTCCCATGATGAAAATGGAAAAAGCATCAAAATTGTCTCGGAGAAGTCATAAAAGAAGTTAAAGATGTGTATTAGCCTTCTATTGTGATTTAAGGTTAGAAATAAATACTCTTATAACCATAATTGCATTATATCTGGTTGCTAATGTGAGCCGATGGTTTGGATCGGGTAGTTGAACCCCGAGCATTATTCTGTTTGCTGTCATAATGCAGAGCAAGCCGCCTGTGCTGCAGCAGACGTTAAACCTTTCATTTCCGTCTAATAAACCTTTGAATCCAGATAACAAATGAAATGTGCAAAGCTGCTGCGAATCCTGAACTAAATTGGAAAATTAATTGCTAGATGGCAAACAACTAACGGTGCGTTTATGTCACCAATCGCAGTGGAGTGGGGAACTAAATGGCCTAAATGTATTTTTCTTTCCCTGTTTCTGTAAAAAAATTCCCAAGTTTCTTCCTCCCAGCTATACTATCTCTCTATGCTGCTTTGACAGACAGACAAAATTTTTTTTATCTCCTTTTAGTGGGAAAAAAGTCTTCAACTATTCATCCTAGTTAAATAAACGGAGGTCGATGGATTTCACTCAGTCCGCACATTTATTCATATCTTTGCAAAGAGAGACCAGTTCATCATACAGCCCTAATGGCACAGCAGATAATATCCTTGTGTAATCGATATTTAAATAAGGAATATTAATGACTAGAAAAAAATTAAGAAACTAAAATTGTATATATATGTAAAGAAAGCTAAAAACTAAGAAAAAAAAAAAAAAAAAAAAAAAAAAAAAAAAAAATATATATATATATATATATATATATATATATATATATATATATATATATATATATCAAAATTGCACACCTGCAATCCAGCCAGTGGACAATGTTAAAAGATTATAATAGATGGAAAAATCTAAAATCCAACCATTTTCTGACATGTTTGTCCCGTGTGCGGTCGCGAGGGGTGCTGGAGAGAGGAGGGGTCCACCCTGGACAGGTCTCCAGTCCATCGCAGGGCAACACAGAGACACACAACCATTCCCACTCACACCTAAGGATAATTTAGAGAAGCCAATTAACCTAACAGTGTTTTTGGATTGTGGGAGGAAGCTGGAGTACCTGGAGAGAACCCACGCATGTTCAAGGAGAACTTGCAGAATCCATGCAGAAAGACCCTGCCCCTTTATTCCGATTTGCTTTGTTGAAGCTTTTTCTGGTTCCTTCCTGATGAGCTCTGATCACTTTCTTTGATGACTTTGAGCCTCATCAGAACAAACATGTTCTGTTGAAGAAAAATCATAAAGTTTCAGTAATTGTAACCTCCATATATATCTGAGCCAGGATTCATTGAGAATAGATCATTTTAAAGCCTCCACCATTCATCTTAATGTAGGATTTAAATCCTGTAATTTATATCCTCTGTCACTTTCATCATTATTATCATTATTATTATTATTATGAAATATTATCATTATTTCCAGTGGAGTCATCAGAACACCGTATAATTATTAACAAATACTTATGTTAAGTACATTTGCTTATTTATTCCAGATCAGTTTAACATAAATTTTCTTCTTAATGAATTGTCAGTAATTTAAAAGCAAATTCAACCGGCCTAATTTATTTTTATACAAATTATTTGGCTCTACACCTATAGATTTATTTAGCCTTGAAAAGTTAAATCCAAACCTTAAATAATTAAGGTTAACAAATTTAACTTTAGCATTTAAATAATGACACAGGTCCTTGTTTATTTGAAGAAATGCCCAATTATTGTTAAACAGACAAAATCTGTTAATTTGTTGAATCTGTTTAATTAAACGTTAAATAAGGAATAAAGGTGATTGATATAAGGTTCGAATGTTACAGCAAATAAGCAGCTGTGCTTTAAGTTTTAACACATTTAACTCCTGCTTTGTTTTGAAAACGGGTTTCACAGTTTAACCTTAATTATCCGATTTATTGTAGATTAGACTATGACATCATCTGGTGCTTTGTAGGACAGCCAATAGAGACTTTATTGCTGAGGAGTTTTCAAACAGCAGCACCAAAGTAGATCTTTTTTTCCAAAACATGATGAGAGAACAATTTAGCAGCAGTCCGTGATGATAAGGTTCACCTGTGCTTTTATTGTGAAATGCCAATAGGAAATGACATGGGGTTGCCAGGGGTAACGGCCGGAGGAATTGCTGCAGAAACTTTTAGACTGCATTGGAATTTTTACACCTTCTGTCAAAGACTACATGATTGTTTTTAACATATAAACAAACTAAATGGATTTAAGGAGAACTAATATTACTGCTTTAAATCCGGTCCAATCCTGGTTCTGTTGATTTCAATGAGCTTATTTCGGTGCTTTCAGTGTGATCATGTCCATACTTTCTCCCAGCCAGAGGAAACAGCAGAAGGATTTGCTGACGGCGTTGCAGAAAGTGGTTGTCCCCATCTACTGCACCAGTTTCCTCGCTGTAGAGGAAGAGAAGCAGCAGAAGATCACTCGGGTAAACGAGTCAATCATTAATAATCATTTTATCAGTCTGGAATTCAGCTTTAACGGTTCCTGATTTCTTTTGTTATCCCTTCTGCTAACGACAGGAATGCTGTGGCTAGTTTTAAACCAAATGATCCTTTATTAGATGAAATGTTTGGTTTCAGGGATAAACTTTGAATATGAATACCTGCTGTGGCATTACTCCCGCAGAATTGCACTTTTTTATTTACACAGCTATGAAAAAGTATTTGAAACAAGTTTTAGAAATTTAAATCCCCATTTCAAAGGCGTGTGGATGAAACACCACAACCTGACTCCGCCAGATGGATTTACTCCGCATATCCATCTGGAAACCTTCCGTTGAAGTAATTTTGGGAAGGGGCAAAAATACTGGTTAGCTGATTGGCCTATGTTGGTGATAGACGGGCCAAATAAACCAATCAGATCAACGAAGCATATGACGTACTAACAGAGCGACGACGAAGAGGAGCCAATTGATAGATCAAACTCTTGGTGAAACCAGTCGGGAGAAGAGCAAAAACATCTTTTCCTCTGAGAAAAGCCTCCAGAGCAGTGTTTTGCTCTTCTTTCAGTGAAGAAATACTCTGTAATTCCCATAAAACTTGCTCGATAGCCACGCTAACGTTAGTTTCATCGGCTGAAGCCGCCGTGTTCTTTAGACTGAACTGTCGCGCTTCTCGTTGCGTCACACCTCAACCCGCCTCAAAGCCAACGCTGATTGGACGTTCGTTTGGTGAACGGCTCCAAACTTTCTTTAACGGAGAGTCTCCAGACTGATTAGCGAGTGAAACCTTGAAAGCTCGCGAGATCAGGATGGTCTCACCAGGCTAGAAACACCATGTGACTGTGTTTTAGTCATTTCTGTAAATAGAAAACATGAGCAGGTGTGAGTTGGGCCTGGTACCGGCTGGTCGGCCTTAAGGGGTTAAGAAACTCCAGAAGTCCACCAAACCCAGACTTTGTTTTCTGTCGTCTCCACATTTTAAGATCCAGAACTTCTCTGTAAAAAAATTCAGTTTTTATTTATTTCTCTTTGAAACTACAGATTGAAAGAGATGGTTTTAAATGGAAAATATTTGGCTGATTCCAGTTCTCCCACTTTGAAAATCAGCGTTCTCAGTCTGTCTCTACATCCTGTTGTGTTTGTAGTTGCTGCAGCTTTGGGAGAAGAACGGGTATTTTGATGAGGAAACCATTCAGCAGCTGCAGAACCCGGCACTGGGCCTGGGACAGTACCAGGTCTGTGAGAACACCTCAGTCACTCTATGAAGGAACATCTCATCAGTTTGCAAGCTGATCTAGAACTGAAGGAGCTAAGTTTGTGTATAGAACTAGTTTTTCCATTTTGTTTATTTTGAGGAGCAAATCCTTGCCTATCTAGCTACCTGCGCTGGCTTCCTGGAAGTGGTGCTGGCTTCCTGGAAGTGGTGCTGGCTTCCTGGAAGTGGTGCTGGCTTCCTGGAAGTGGTGCTGGCTTCCTGGAAGTGGTGCTGGCTTCCTGGAAGTGATGCTGGCTTCCTGGAAGTGGTGCTGGCTTCCTGGAAGTGGTGCTGGCTTCCTGGAAGTGGTGCTGGCTTCCTGGAAGTGATGCTGGCTTCCTGGAAGTGATGCTGGCTTCCTGGAAGTGGTGCTGGCTTCCTGAAAGTGGTGCTGGCTTCCTGGAAGTGATGCTGGCTTCCTGGAAGTGGTGCTGGCTTCCTGGAAGTGGTGCTGGCTTCCTGGAAGTGGTGCTGGCTTCCTGGAAGTGGTGCTGGCTTCCTGGAAGTGGTGCTGGCTTCCTGGAAGTGATGCTGGCTTCCTGGAAGTGATGCTGGCTTCCTGGAAGTGGTGCTGGCTTCCTGGAAGTGATGCTGGCTTCCTGGAAGTGATGCTGGCTTCCGGGAAGTGGTGCTGGCTTCCTGGAAGTGGTGCTGGCTTCCTGGAAGTGGTGCTGGCTTCCTGGAAGTGGTGCTGGCTTCCTGGAAGTGGTGCCGGCTTCCCGGAAGTGATGCTGGCTTCCCGGAAGTGATGCCGGCTTCCTGGAAGTGATGCCGGCTCCCTGGAAGTGGTGCCGGCTTCCTGGAAGTGATGCCGGCTTCCTGGAAGTGATGCTGGCTTCCTGGAAGTGATGCTGGCTTCCTGGAAGTGGTGCTGGCTTCCTGGAAGTGGTGCTGGCTTCCTGGAAGTGGTGCTGGCTTCCTGGAAGTGGTGCCGGCTTCCCGGAAGTGATGCTGGCTTCCTGGAACTGATGCTGGCTTCCTGGAAGTGATGCCGGCTCCCTGGAAGTGGTGCTGGCTCCCTGGAAGTGGTGCTGGCTCCCTGGAAGTGGTGCCGGCTTCCCGGAAGTGATCCTGGCTTCCTGGAACTGATGCTGGCTTCCTGGAAGTGGTGCCGGCTTCCCGGAAGTGATGCTGGCTTCCTGGAACTGATGCTGGCTTCCTGGAAGTGATGCCGGCTCCCTGGAAGTGGTGCTGGCTCCCTGGAAGTGGTGCTGGCTCCCTGGAAGTGGTGCCGGCTTCCCGGAAGTGATCCTGGCTTCCTGGAACTGATGCTGGCTTCCTGGAAGTGGTGCCGGCTTCCCGGAAGTGATGCTGGCTTCCTGGAACTGATGCTGGCTTCCTGGAAGTGATGCCGGCTCCCTGGAAGTGGTGCTGGCTCCCTGGAAGTGGTGCCGGCTTCCCGGAAGTGATCCTGGCTCTAATATGTTTGGCGCTCTGGGTTTCAGGCCTCCCTGATAACGGAGTATGCTGCCGTGGTGCAGCCCATCCAGCTGGCCTTCCAGCAACAGATCCAGGCTTTAAAGACCCAACATGAGAAGTTTGTTGTGAGTCTGAAGCAGCGGCAGACGGGTCCTGTAAGACCCGCAGCAGCCCCCTCTGAAGCTGATAAACCTCCATCATTGGCGCCACCTGCTGGTAAGAGAAACACTTGAATGGCTTCAGATCTAAGGAGGATTACATTTTAAAATCTCTCCAGAATTCCTGCTGCTTGCTAGATGAACAGAATGGGGTTAAGATGTGGAATAATAAAATGAAAGTAATAAATCTTGGTCACATGCGCTCAGTTTTTGTCTCCTCCTGTGGTCTGCAGGGGAAGTAAAGCCTCCTGTGATTGGTCCTCCCTCAGCGGACTTTGAAGTTGCTCCCAGATCACAGGACTCCAAAAACGCCAGTGGACCATCGGATATTCCCGCCAACAAGCCTGCCTGGTTTGAATCGCAGCACGTCGGACCCTGGAACCCCAACCAGCCGGTAAAAGTTGATCCGTTCTGTGATTCCATTTCTTGTTTTCAGAAATCTGGGCTGAGCTTCTTCTGGAAGAAAACTGGAAGACTGTCCTGGTTAAGGATCCTATTTAGGAGAACTGAGATGGTTCCATTGAAAAGTCACTTTATCCACCAGGCTGCATGAGGAGAAAACTTTCTGAGAATACAAACAGGGACATTAGGAATTTATTGAATTTATTAAATGGATGTAAAACAAATCTGGATGAATTAATAACTATTAACTGCATATTTCCAGTGGTCATTGGGAAAGAAGCAGACTTTACTCTGGACAAACCAACAGTATTACATCATCCTGATTGAAAAAAGGCAACGCTGTAGCCAGGTAGCGATGTCACTACACGATCCGTAGGGGAACCACGATCCGTAGGGGAACCACGATCCCTAGGGGAACCACGATCCGTAGGGGAACCACGATCCCTAGTGGAACCACGTTCCCTAGGGGAACCACGATCCGTAGGGGAACCACGATCCGTAGGGGAACCACGATCCCTAGGGGAACCAGGATCCCTAGGGGAACCACGATCCCTAGGGGAACCCGAACCACGATCCGTAGGGGAACCACGATCCCTAGTGGAACCACGTTCCCTAGGGGAACCACGATCCGTAGGGGAACCACGATCCCTAGGGGAACCAGGATCCCTAGGGGAACCACGATCCCTAGGGGAACCCGAACCACGATCCGTAGGGGAACCACGATCCCTAGGGGAACCATGATCCGTACGGGATCCACGATCCGTAGGGGAACCACGATCCGTACGGGAACCGGAACCACGATCCGTACGGGAACCGGAACCACGATCCATAAGGGAACCGGAACCACGATCCGTACGGGATCCACGATCCGTACGGGATCCACGATCCGTAGGGGAACCACGATCCGTACGGGAACCGGAACCACGATCCGTACGGGAACCGGAACCACGATCCATAAGGGAACCACGATCTGTGGGGGAATAGGAACCGCAATCCGTAGGGGAACCACGATCCGTAGGGGAACCACGATCTGTGGGGGAACAGGAACCGCGATCCGTAGGGGAACCACTATCCGTAGGGGAACCGGAACCACGATCTGTAGGGGAACCACGATCCGTAGGGGAACCCGAACCACAATCCGTAGGGGAACCACAATCCGTAGGGGAACCACAATCCCTAGGGGAACCCAAACCACGATCCGTAGGGGAACCACGATCCGTAGGGGAACCACAATTCCTAGGGGAACCACGATCCGTAGGGGAACCCGAACCACAATCCGTAGGGGAACCACAATCCGTAGGGGAACCACAATCCGTAGGGGAACCACGATCCGTAGGGGAACCCAAACCACGATCCGTAGGGGAACCACGATTCCTAGGGGAACTCGAAACCTTGATCCGTACGGGAACCGGAACCACGATCCGTACCATTGGGTCATTTGTGCACGGAAAGCAGATATTTATCCAGGCCGCCATAAATACTGTAATTATTGTTCTAAAATTACTTATTCCTGTCCTTAACTCACTAAAAAATGCTAAAACACATTTTTTTAAAAATGTTGACTTTTCTGAGTCAATTTTCATGCCTTTGGCATTTTGTCCGTTAAACTGTTTGTCTGATGGGCGATGCTCAGAGCAGTCGGTAAATCTGATTAAATCATATTTATCTGCATTTTAGTTGTTTCTTTCTTTAGATAACGCACTATATAGCATCATGTTAACACGAAAGGAAAACATCAAACTCAAACAGATTTATGTTTAAATCCAAAACTGAAAAATTTTTGTTTCTTTGTGTGTGAATATTGGATAATATTTGGTTAATTTTAGTGCAATTAACCTTTAACACATTATAGTTTAGTACGCTTACTGTTTCTGGATTATCCAGGTCTAATAATAAGGGAAGCTAGCGGCCTTATATTAAGGACATAGAGCTGGAATGCTGAGGTTCTGGGTTTGATTCCCACTCCCACAGCCTGCCACTCTGGGTTCCTGAACCCTTAGCCCCACACTGCTCCTCGGTCGCTGCACAGTGGCCGCCCACTGCTCCCTAAGGGGAGGGGTTAAATGCAGAGAGGGAATTTCTCCAATGTGAGATCAATAAAGTTCAATTATTATTATTAATATAATATCATTTAGGTATTTTTTTTTAAGTTAAAGCAGAGGGCGGTCTGGATGGTACGGACCGTGCTACCGTAAGGATCCACTAGGGACACGTGGTTTAGCCTAGAAGCGTTTGCTCTACCCGTGTTTGGAGATATAAAGGATGAACCTGCACTTATTCTACTGACCTGATGGTAACCTGAATAAACGGCCACATTTTGCTCTGGTCTTTTTATTTTTACGAAAGCAAATATCTGCTTGGATCTTTGTGGATTTCCACATCTGTCCTTCCTTTTCCAGCCTCCCTTTGACCCGAACCAGCCCCCTCCTCCCTGCCCCCCCTGGAACAGCCATGAGGGAATGTGGAATGAGCAGAGGGAGCCAGGGAACTGGAGCGGAGGTCCTCTGAGAGACGGAGGCCTGTGGAGCGGGCCAGGAGGCTCCGAGCCTGGCCCCCCATCTTGGAACTCGTTTGACCAGCAGCCCCCGTGGGGGAATCAGAGCGACCAGCCTCCATGGGGTCAAAGAGAGCCCCCATTTCCTCCACGGATGCAGGTATGGTTAGCCTCCATGTTGCCCGTTAGTGTGGACGGCATGAAACGGGCCTCACATGCTGGTAGAATAAACCTTGCTGTTATTTTCTGCCTGACATTTTTTGTACGACTGTTTTTCTTCCAGAGACCGCCCCATTTCAGAGGACCATTTGCGCCGCACCAGCAGCACCCCCCTTTTAATCAGCCCCCACCGCCCCCGCACAACTTTGGCCGATTCCCGCCCCGCTTCGTGCAGGACGACTTTACTCCCAGACATCACTACGAAAGACCCCCGTACACGTCACACCGCTTCGACTACCCTCAGGGAGAATTTCCCGGAGGTCAGTGAGAACACAAAGCCCCCCGCCCCCCCTCCCCCCGTTATAATCGAAATGTTTTATCTTTAATAAAACCAAGAGCTGTGTTTGCTGCTAGACATGCCCGGGCCTCCCCTTCACCACCACCCCAATCAGCGGATGCCTCCACCAGCCATCGGCGGCGAGCATCCACCCTGGGGCGCGGGCCAGCACCAGGACTTTGGCCCGCCGCAGCACGGCTTCAATGGCCACTCGCCTCAAATGCGCCATCGACAGCATCCCGTCCAGGACGACCCAAGTCTGGTTCCCAACGTGCCCTACTTCGACCTGCCAGCCGGGCTCATGGCTCCACTGGTCAAAGTGAGTTAGTTCTGGGTTAATGGTAACTAGAATGTCTCCTGTCCTCTGGTGACGCAGCAGCCTCACGGATAGTCACTTCAGAGGGAGGTTTTTTTTTTTTTTTTTTACAAAATAAACAGAATTACAACAAAAAAGCATCATTAATCTAAAATAGAAAATAAGTTATGTATTGAGAGAAGGCCTGTTTAGAATTTAACCTTTTAACATCCTTTTTTCAAACCTTAAAATCCTTTCTTGAACAGCAGTAACAAAGACATGCTTGAAAGTAGGCAGGCGTCATTGTTCCCTAAAGCCGGGCATTAACCATACCATTTTATAAATCGTACCGTGTCACCGGACACGCTCAGAGCGGTCCGGCTAAATCTGATTAAACCATGTTTATCTGCATTTTAGTGGTTTATTTCTTTAGATTGCGCACTATATACCATCACGTTAACGCGAAAGGAAAACATTAAACTCACTTCTTTTTTTTTTTTGTGAATATTGAATGAAAATCAAGTTTAACCTGAAGGTTACTCTACATTAAGTTAATTTAAAGGCACACTATGCAACATTTTTCAGTTAATGTGTTCCTTCACGTTTTGGATGATTAAATGAGTCGTTTCAGGTCGAACAAAGGTTTTCTCCGCCGCCCTGGTGGTCTGTTGGGGAAATACCGTACTTGCAATTGCAGGAGCACCGACCCGCACCCACAGGCTCAGAAGTCTCGTGCATCGCGAGAGTCGGTCTTGCTTTACGGCGAGAACTTGGCTAACTACAATCTTTGTTATTTAGACACATGCATAACAAATAATGTATGAAAACATGCTAAATTTTCAAACTCGAAAATTGGAACAAAATAGTCCCTTACCGCAGTAGACATGGTGATTCGTTGCGTTCGCCTGTCTGCTAAGCTCAAAACAACCTCGCCTGGCGTGACGGAGAAACCAGGAGAACAGCTGAGCATATTTACAACAGTGCACTTTTACTTTCAACCTCTGGGGGGAGCCTCTCTGGAAAATCAACACCGGTTGCATAGTATACCTTTAAGTGTAATTAGAGAGAGAGGGGGTATGAAAAATAAAATAAGTTTTACTTCTTCAAACCCCTTTTTCAGACCATTTCCATTAATCGTTGTCGATTCTCTGGCTGTATAAACCGACAGGTTTATTTGATGGTAGCAAATAAAAATTATATAAACACTACCGTTTAAAAGTTTGGGGTCACATTGAAATGTCCTTATTTTTTAAGGAAAAGAACTGTTCTTTTCAATGAAGATAACTTTAAACTAGTCTTAACTTTAAAGAAATACACTCAATAAATTGCTAATGTTCTCTATAGATACAGGTGTATAGAGCACCTACTACTCCCTTCAGAGGGCAGCACAAACAGGCTCTAACCAGAGTAGAAAAGAAGTGGGAGGCCGCGTTGCACAACTGAGCAAGAAGATAAGTACATTAGAGTCTCTAGTTTGAGAAACAGACGCCTCACAGGTCCCCAACTGGCATCTTCATTAAATAGTACCCGCAGTAGCCTGTTTGTGCTGTCCTCTGAAGGGAGTAGTACACACCGTTGTAGGAAATCTCCAATTTCTTATCAATTTCTCTCATGGAATAGCCTTCATTTCTAAGAACCAGAATAGACTGTGGAGTTTCAGATGAAAGTTCTCTTTTTCTGGCCATTTTGAGTGTTTAATTGACCCCACAAATGTGATGCTCCAGAAACTCAATCTGCTCAAAGGAAGGTCAGTTTTGTAGCTTCTGTAACGAGCTAAACCGTTTTCAGATGTGTGAACATGATTGCACAAGGGTTTTCTAATCATCAATTAGCCTTCTGAGCCAATGAGCAAACACATTGTACCATTAGAACACTGGAGTGATAGTTGCTGGAAATGGGCCTCTATACACCTATGGAGATATTGCACCAAAAACCAGACATTTGCAGCTAGAATAGTCATTCACCACATTAGCAATGTATAGAGTGCATTTCTTTAAAGTTAAGACTAGTTTAAAGTTATCTTCATTGAAAAGTACAGTGCTTTGCCTTCAAAAATAAGGACATTTCAATGCGACCCCAAACTTCTGAACGGTAGTGTTTAAATATAAATATATATTTTTTTTTTTACAATTTCAGCATAATTCCTGCTCTAAGCGGGTTGCTCTGTCAGCTAAAGGCAGATTTTAGAAACTCTATACTCCGGTTAACGAATAATCAATCACTAAATTGATTGACGATTATTTCAATAATCGATTAGTCGTGATTCATTGTTTCAGCCCCAGATTCAACCTTAAAACTCTACAGTGAAAGTTTGAGGAGAATCAAGACTTTAACTGTTTAAATTTTGTTTTGTTTTTAATTAGGAAATAATAATCAAAGTATCTGTTCTTATCTTTGTGGCCTTTTTATACCTCAGTTCTTTCCAGGTGGTGTAGAATCTATAGCAGGTAGTTCTATGATCAAAACATCAGGTGGTTTCTGAAAGTTACAGATTTTATAAAATTTTAATTGTAATCTGTGGTTTTGAATACTTCACTATTTTCTAAAGTGAGTACTTCAATACATTAAGTTGAGTAGATTATGGATGAACTTTTACTTGTAGTTGAGTAAACTTTGACCATGAGTATTAGTACTTTTACTTAAGTACTACTGTTGAGCACTTTGTTCCACCACTAATGAAAACAGAATGGATCATAGATGGAAATGTTCGGGCTTAGATAGATCAGCGGCTAAGATTTCTCCCAACTGATGACTTTAGGATAACTTTGAATTTAGCTCAAAGGTGTCTATTACCAGTTTAATTTGTCATTTAAACACCAAAGTGTGAATCATTTAAAGTGCTTCTATGGTTTTCCACAGCTTGAGGACTACGATTACAAACCTTTGGACCCCAAGGATATCCGGTTACCCCCTCCTATGCCCCCCAGCGATCGGCTGCTAGCTGCTGTTGAGGCTTTCTACAGCCCTCCGTCACATGACCGACCCAGAAACAGGTACAGACTCCAGCCACTAACTGCGCTTAAAGGTTCTTAATGAATTTATATTGAATTGCTGGTCATGAATTTCTGCAGCTGAACAACAGATAAATCTTTAGTTTTCTCCAATGTGCCGTCTTTTTTTTCCTGCTAAATTCATTTAGTTAATAATAAATCTAAGGAAAACCAGCTGATTGCATCGACTCATTGACTCTTCAGCAATCCCTCACACTAAGCATGCTTGTAGTGACAGTGGAGAGGAAAAACTCCCTTTGAACAGGAAGAAACCTCCAGCAGAACCAGGCTCAGTGTGAGCGGCCATCTGCTGAGGCCCACTGGGGTTCAAGGAGACAGAAGCAGACATAGAAAAACAAGCATAGATACAAAAGGCAACTGTTAAAGGCATCCAACTGTTGTTGTTTTTTTTTTTTAACTCCCAGTGAAGGTTGGGAACAGAACGGGCTGTACGAGTTCTTCAGGGCCAAGATGAGAGCTAGAAGAAAAAAGGAACAGGAGAAAAGGAACAGGTGAGTTTGTTAGAATTTGAATTCCTTTGTGGGTTTTTATTTTTTTGTGAAAGCTCAGGCTTTTCATCCTCTAAATATTTTTTATATTTTTAGTCACGGAGGCAGCCGCTCCAGGAGTCGCTCTCACAGTCGAAGGAGATCCTCGTCTCGCTCCAGCTCTCACTCCTCCAAGTCCTCCAGGTCACGCTCCGGGTCGTCTCGCTCCCGCAGCCGCTCCCGCTCCTACTCGCGCTCCAGGTCAGAACTCTGCAGCGCAAACAGACGACTTCTCAGAAACAAGAACCTGACTGACAGCATTAAAACTTTGGGTGGTTTTGAAGTATCGTGTAATAAACAGGATGAGCTGCTGAGTTTGGGTGCAGGAACTGGGGACCGTCCTGATATCACAGCTTTGACTGATTCCAGTATTTGTTCAATAAGATTTGAGCAGGAGTCATAAGCAGGGGGGGTGGGTACAGTACCCACAGAAAGTACTTGAGTAAGAATAGCACTACTTCCTCATGTCTTTACTCCATTAAAAGTAAAAACAGCCATGCTGTAAGCCTGCTGGGTTCTCAGTCATCTGGGTCATAATTATTCCTAAAAAGTTAAAACAATCTGCTTGACTTTGTTTGAAGACGTTTCTCTTCCATCCAGGAAGATTTTTCAATTCAAAATGTCAGAAATAGCGTTTAGTTCCAGGTTTTATCCAGCAGCCCAACAAAGCCTGGTTTTAGTTTAGGATTCATGCAGATAGAAACAAACTGGGATTTTCCCACATAGGTGCGTTCTAACTACAGGTTTAATCTTCTCTCAGGTCCAGGAGTCGATCAAGGTCTTCTCGGAGTCGCTCCGGATCCAGATCCAGATCCCGCTCCGCTTCTCCAGCCAAGCGCAGCCGTGCTCCCAAATCCCGGAGTTCTTCTCCTACGTGAGTTCACTGGCTGTGATGGTTTGACGATGAATGGACGCCACCTCTCTCTTGTTTCCTAAAGCGTTTCAGAACATCAAAAAAATTATATCGGTCAAAAGCAGCACAAGTAAATTCTAGCTGCAGTTTTACTGTTGAACTCAGAGATCTTCAATCAGGCTGTTGGCTAGCAATGCGTACGGGCGTACATGTACGCCTTTTACTAAAAATATTAGAAATCGTACGCCCTGTTTTTGGGATGTACGGCGTTGGCACGGCCTCATTTCCCCCAGAATATGGTGGAATATCTAAAGTCCCTACGGACAATTTCAACCACGGGAACAAGCGGCTCTATGTCCAAGAAGGTGAGCTGGAAACTTTGAAAAGTTTATGAAAACTCATCGACTGCCTGATAACTATAGTGTGAGCGGCCATCTGCTGAGGCCCACTGGGGTTCAAGGAGACAGAAGCAGACATAGAAAAAGAAGCATAGATACTAAATGCAACTGTCAACCAGCTCCACAGGCGGCCCCGTCCAGGAAACACACAGCCAGGCAGACGAGCTCCGAGCCAGCTCCCATGTCAGAGGATGAAGAGAGCACATCCAGTTAGTCACAGTCAGAGAAACAGGACTACACTGGAAAACAGGCCAAGCTCCAACATCTTTAAACAAAGGTGTTGATGGCAGCAGCACAGCTGATATTCCTCTCCAGGATGGAGTCACAGCCAAACAGTAACAGACCAGATGAAGCTACTATGAGAAAAAGCAGAGAGAGCAGAACGTTAGAGATTGAACTAACAGATTCTGCAGGGTGAAAGAATAGAGATAGAATGAAGCAGAATGATGAAAAAGGGGTCCCTATGTCCTCCAGCATACATTTTCATTCACACCGTTTAAAAATCAGAGGGTTTTAAGCATTTTTCTCTGCTTCCATCTTTTTTAAACACCAGAAAAACAGTAACTGTGAAACATGAAGATAATCTCATAAAATCATAATAATGAAATTTAATCCCACTGGATCTGGTTTGTAGTCCTTTTATTTGTGCAGCCAGAGGTGGAAAAAAATTGAAATTATGTATTAAAACAGGAAATCAGATCTATCAGTTGGTCCCATGTCACCAGTGAAAGGTTCTTTCATTCAGACAGATTGTCAGGTTGGACGGTTCACAGGATTCAGAGTGTCTGAGGTCAGAAAGTAGGATTAGCCTCAGCTGACGCTTTGTTCCGCACCACACACGCACGTACGCACACACACACACACACACAAACACACACATAGGGCTGCGTACCGAACTTCGGTTCTTTTATGGTACCGACCGAAATGCTTCGGTTCTACAGAGCATCGAAACATGCCTCGTCTTTCGGTACCAAGTTTCGGTGATTGGCTGTAACACTTAACGTGATTGCGTCATCCAGGAAAAATACACAGGTGGTCCCGCCTACAGCCAGGGTTCATGTATTTCTGTTGTGAACTGGTTGCGAGCGTCATGGAACCCCTTTAAAATGCCCCCCAGGTCAAAAGTGCGGCTTCACTTTATTAAGACTGATGCTAATAGTGCACAATGCAATACATCGTGCACAGACACAATTTAAGAGCAGAAAGTTGCTCGGTGTTTGGCTGCAAGAAGAGCGGACCGCAGCCGGCGCCACCATCCTCCTCTCAGCAGCCCGTGGGCGGAGCAAAGCCAGAGCGGAGTGAATCATGCTGCTTTCAAACCGGACGCAGCAGGAGCAGCAAAATCACGTCTGCTGCTTCCTTTTTACTGCTTGTACCAGCTTCTGACTCACGGCTGAAGCAGCTCTGCTGCTCTGGCTGCGTGGTGCAAAAGTGTGTCTGACGCGCGTTGGGCGGAGCAAATATAGCTTTCAGCTATATTTGCTGTAATCAGTGGGAATAAATTAGTTTTATTATGTTTTTAAGTGGGAAAATCCACCTGAAAACTTAATCAGTGCAGTCAGTTCATCCTGCCTTCAATATTTCTGTGGGAGCCGCTCAGACCCCCCCATACCAGCGGTGCGCTGTCAGTAGGATCCCATTCAACGGGCTTGTTTGTCAGACACGTTAGTTTTTCTAAAGGAAAACTGCTGAGTAAAAAGGTCCTCACAATGTAACAGTGAATATTAGACACTGAATTTTTTTTTATGTAAGAGGAAAAATGTAAATGGAAAAATCAGAGCTTAAAATAAAACTCAAGATTTGTACTTTTTTATGTTGTGTAATTTTCTTTTTCTTCACATTGATATTATAAAACTGGTATCGAAAAAAGTATCATTCATGCACTGGAATTGAAGTGAAGGTATCGGTATTGGTACCGGCAGCGAAAATTTTTGAACAATACCCAGCCCTACACACACACACACACGTGTATTTGACTATTATTCCGTTTTTTTATGTTCTGTGTAACAGGCTTAGAAAAAAGAGGAAAATAAAATTGTAAATGTTCCACAGCGCTGTACAGAAATCAAAGATGCTAATCTTCTTGTTTCACTTTAGCTCCAATCCAGCATCGAGCGCCTCTTCCTCTAAAGGCCCGGCTCCAGACACCCGATTGGGAGAGGAGAATAAGGGCCACCAGCTGTTATTAAAGATGGGTATGCTTATTCCTGCATTTTATTCTCACTATGGTGCAAATAAAATTCTCATTTTGTATCAGAAACGGTTTCCTATGATGGAGTATCAGGGCCAGGCTACAGAGTTTTATATTTTATTACAAGAATAAAGTCATCATACAGCAAAAGGTTTCAGAAAGAAAGCTTGGAGCTCCGCCCACCAGATGACGGCCGACCGGCTCCACCAATCAGCAACCAGAGTCCACTTTGACATCCTGCCCAGTTTGATGCTGCTGCTAAAAGATTTCCTGATTTGTCAAACCGATGCTAAAGTAGAAGTTCACATGATGCTCCACATTCCTCACTTTAGGGAAGACGGGGCTTCTAGGAAGAGCTGTCATAAAATACAACTTTATTCACGTAATTTTAGGACTTTATTCTCGCTATGTTACGATTTATTCTCATAATTTTATGACTGTTTATGTTGCAATTTTATTCTCATAATATTACGACCTTATTCTCAAAATAAAACCACAAAAACCCAGCCTGGCCCTAATACTCCGTTGTACTTTCCTGTGGTAATGTTGTAACAGATTTTCTTCGGTTTGTTGGATGTCATATTGACTTTAGGTTGGAGCGGTTCTGGGGGGCTGGGGGCCAAAGAGCAGGGTATTCAGGACCCCATCAAAGGAGGAGACATCAGGGATAAATGGGACCAGTACAAAGGTGTGGGAGTTTCTTTAGACGACCCGTATGAGAACTACAGAAGGAATAAGAGCTACAACTTTGTTGCCCGGATGAAAGCAAGAGAAGAAGGTATTAGAATGGATTTTATTCTTACAGAACCGGATTATTGCTTCATCTCTGAAGAATATTCATTCAACCAAACTTTGTTTTATGTTCCAGTTAACAGGGAACCCCAGGAACCCCCCCCGACCGACTGAGGCAGCCGGTGTTTCAGCTGAAAACGTCTCCTGGACGCCACGTCCCAGTCCTGCTAGTTTAGCGTTAGCGCTCTTCACTAAATCATTTCCTGGCTGTTTGGTTTCAACAATAAACTAACGATCATCCAATGTTTCAGTTCTTTTGTTAATACAAAGAAACTGTAACCAGATATAGAAATCACGTTTCCACCAATTTATTACCATCAACCTGAACTCTGTCAAGATTTAACGTAATTCTAGAGCGAATCGGATGAAAGGCGCCCATTTTTACGCCAAAGTCTGTTTGTTGTCGTAGTGAAGGTGTGACTAAGGTGATCACAGCTGATATTTCTGCGGCTGTTAGATGTTCATTACTGACGTTTCAACTCATTTAGCGTGTTGGAGATGAATTGTTTTTAGTCTGTTTAATGAGTTACTGTTCAGGTTGATGTTTCCTGGCACCAGGAGGGTCTTTAAAACGCTAAAGTTTTATTTTAAAAGGCAACAATATCCTGTTTCATTGACATCATTTCATCCTTTGCTGACCGCATCAGTACATCCTATCCAAACTACTTCTGTTGTTCTTATGTTGCTAAATATGTTTTTCCCAAACATTTGATGACACATTTTTTACTCATTTAAATCCATTTTTTACGTTTTCCTTTTTTTTTTGTTGCATGGATTTTATTTACTTTCCATCAAAATGTTTTTCAGTGCAGATGAGGGACTGGTAAGAACTTCATGTGAATAAATCAAAGCACTCAATAAAATACGTCGTATTAATTTGACTGTTTGCAGGTGAGCCGGTATAGAACTAGAGAAAGTGTGAATGCTGTACGCTAAACTATAAGCTGAAAAATAGCAGAATCAACGATAAAATAAAGCTAATATGCTATGAAATAGCAGGGAAAAAAAGCTAAGTTTCTTTTGAGAAAATTACAAGGAGTGAGCTGAATTCTATACAGTTCATTTCTATACCACCAATTCACAGGTCATGTTAATCTAGAGACAAGTCAACCAGATCACCCTTTCTATGGGGCGCCGTTTGTAAAGATAAGCCGTCAAAAATTAGGAGAAATATTGGATTATTTTGTGTGTTTTTAGAGAAAAATAAATTATTTTATCATTAATTCATTTATAAAAATCTTTCTTTGTTAAATAGTTTGGAGCTGAATGTTTAGTTTGCTAAATACATATTTAGCTCTAAACTAAATATTTTTTTTAACAAACTAAACATTTAGTTTAGAGCTAAATATATAGAAAAAACTAAATATTTAATTTGCAAACTAAAAATTTAATAACGCAAGATTTTTAGAAATTAATGAATGAAAAATGACTCTTATTTTTCTCTTAAAATATGCTAAATAACCATAAATATATTTATATACTCCCTTGTTAGACCGGTCTCAATGTAAACAATCGGTGCGCTACAGCGTCAAACAGCAATGATCTCATTTTCAGGGACTTTTAAAATAAAGATAAATTCATCACTTTGACACAGACTGGCTGTTTAATAGCATCAGTAGATTAACTTAGAATAAAAAAATAGGCCGATCACATTGCATAGTCATTATGAAGTCAATAAACTCTATAAATCATGTAATATCACAATAACATTAATGTGTTAACGGATCAGAATAATACAGATGAGTCAAAAGTGATAAATTGATGATGTAGATTAAATATACATGGATTGATGACATTGTTATGGTAATTACATGTTACAGATAATTAAAATATTTCACCTCAGGACTGAATTACCATTCTATGGAAGATACTATCTCATTATATTGAGTTTGCATCTCATTATAATCAGATAGTAACTCAATATAAATAGATAGTATCCCAATTATGAGATTTGTTATTATTATTACTGAGTGGCGGAAACGGGCTTCCATACCAGTCCATGTCCGTTAATGCTGCAGTATTTTCTGCAGATGGTGAATGAATGAAGCCGTAGACTTTATGCTGTTTCTGTGAATTAGACTTTAAAAATGTTTCAGTTGCTGTTTTCATCAATATAACCGGCAATATATTTCAGCTCATGAATTTTTCAAATGAGAAATAAACCAAACGCTCCGAAAACTACATCATCATCCTTTTAATAAAGAATTACAGCATTAACATTTCCCAGTGAATTACTTTCTATTTTCTAACCTTAGACCAAATGTCAGTGGCTAACTCAGTCAACTATAGTTCCCTCCACCAGAGGGCAGCACCGCTCCATTCTTGGATTAAACGTCGCATGTGACACAATCATTTGGAGCCGGAAGAAGAGAAATTGTAGTTGTAGGAACCCCTGACATGACAAATCATATTGCAGAGTGATTGAAGACATCGTTGGCCTTCAAAGCGAGCCGGTAAGTGTTTGATTGGATAAAAACTGCACTGTTTGTCCTTTGATGTATTTCCGCTCCGCTGCTTTCTGTTCAATGAGCTGTTTCCATTGAGCTGTGAGGATGAGTCCTTCCCGTGTTGCTCACTGACAGCTCAGCCTTGTGTCTATAGAAAGGATGCTGAGGGATGTATAGGCAAACATAGCGAGTTTATAACCTGTTAATGGGAATAACTTCCCCATAAAGCTGATAAAGTCTTCCCTGCTTTGTTATTCGGTCATTTTTCAGGTCTGATCCTGTTTCTCTCTGTAATCTAAAGGAGGTTCCACAACATCAGCAGCAATGGTAAGAGACTTATTTTCTCTGATTGTTTTTAGCTCTAATTATACAAATACTTTATATCGAAACTCCTCGTAGTCTTTAAAATTTAATGTAACAGAAATTCCAAAAAGGTAAAGTTAAATCAATCCTCTGGACTTTGTTTCCAAGTTTGAAGACGTTTCTCTTCCATCCAGGAAGATTTTTCAACTCAAAATATCAGAAATAGCGTTTAGTTCCAGGTTTTATCCAGCAGCCCAACAAAGCCTGGTTTTAGTTTATTAAACATGCAAATAGAAACGGATGAACGGGTCCCCCCCTTTGGAATGGGGGTCGGTTGGCTTCTTTGTTAGCCTGCAATGCCCCATACCTGTCTATGTCTCTGAAAGGGGATCGTTAGAGGGAATAGTTGGCCTGGCTGAACAGGTGAGGTCTTCTGTTCTCCTGTAAAGGGTTATGATGATAGCAGCGATGATCGTCTGTGGAGAGGTTGTTTGGTTTCTCCAATATAAAGATCAGATCATTCCTCCCTGCAGTGACCTGCAGACACTCTGCTCAGATAGGTCTTTAGATGAACTAGTCTCGGTTTCAGGGTCTGTTTGGTTTGAAATGTTCTGGGATTTTGTGTTTTCTTGAGTTTTTCAGAGACTCCAGATTTATGATGGGATGGAGATGTTTTGAGTTTAATCTTCTCACCGTTATCTTCTGCTTCATGTCTTTTGGGTTTCCTAGCTGATTTGACAAACACCATATTTGCATGTTTTCTAAACTAAAACCAGGCTTTGTTGGGCTGCTGGATAAAAGCAGCCAGAGGGAATCATTCATCTGGAGAAAACCATGTTGGAGTTTATTGAGTTTATAAATGAAACTCCTCCTGTCACTCTTCCTGTTTCTCCTCCTGGTTCTCCCCCTGTGTCTCCTCCGGTGTCTCCCCTTGTGTCTCCTCCTGGTTCTCCCCCTGTGTCTCCTCCTGTAACTCATCCTGTAACTCCTCCTGTTTCTCCTCCTGGTTCTCCCCCTGTGTCTCCTCCTGTGTCTCCCCCTGTGTCTCCCCCTGTGTCTCCTCCTGTAACTCCTCCTGTTTCTCCCTCTGTTACTCCTCATGTAACTCCTCCTGTAACTCCTCCTGTTTCTCCCTCTGTTACTCCTCATGTAACTCCTCCTGTTTCTCCTCCTGGTTCTCCCCCTGTGTCTCCTCCGGTGTCTCCCCTTGTGTCTCCTCCTGTCACTCTTCCTGTGTCTCCTCCTGTAACTCCTCCTGTAACTCCTCCTGTGTCTCCTCCTGGTTCTCCCCCTGTGTCTCCTCCTGTGTCTCCCCCTGTGTCTCCTCCTTTCACTCTTTCTGTTTCTCCTCCTGTAACTCCTCCCGTGTCTCCTCCTTTGTCTCCTCCTGGTTCTCCCCCTGTGTCTCCTCCTGTGTCTCCCCCTGTGTCTCCTCCTGTAACTCCTCCATTTTCTCCCTCTGTTACTCCTCCTGTTTCTCCTCCTGGTTCTCCCCCTGTGTCTCCTCCGGTGTCTCCCCTTGTGTCTCCTCCTGTCACTCTTCCTGTGTCTCCTCCTGTAACTCCTCCTGTAACTCCTCCTGTGTCTCCTCCTGGTTCTCCCCCTGTGTCTCCTCCTGTGTCTCCCCCTGTGTCTCCTCCTGTAACTCCTCTTGTTTCTCCTCCTGTAACTCCTCCTGTTTCTCCTCCTGTGTCTCCCCCTGTTACTCCTCCTGTAACTCCTCCTGTTTCTCCTCCTGTTTCTCCTCCCGTCTCTCCTCCCGTCTCTCCTCCTGTTTCTCCTCCTGTTTCTCCTCCTCTAACTCCTCTTGTAACTCCTCCTGTCTCTCCTCCTGTCACTCCTCCTGTAACTCCTCCTGTCTCTCCTCCTGTAACTCCTCTTGTTTCTCCTCCTGTAACTCCTCCTGTTTCTCCTCTTGTAACTCCTCCTGTCTCTCCTCCTGTCACTCCTCCTGTAACTCCTCCTGTAACTCCTCCTGTCTCTCCTCCTGTAACTCCTCCTGTCTCTCCTCCTGTAACTCCTCCTGTCTCTCCTCCTGTAACTCCTCCTGTCTCTCCTCCTGTTACTCCTCCTGTCACACCTCCTGTAACTCCTCTTGTTTCTCCTCCTGTAACTCCTCTTGTTTCTCCTCCTGTTACTCCTCCTGTAACTCCTCTTGTTTCTCCTCCTGTCTCTCCTCCTGTCACTCCTCCTGGGTCTCCTCCTGGTTCTCCTCCTGTAACTCCTCTTGTTTCTCCTCCTGTAACTCCTCCTGTTTCTCCTCCTGTAACTCCTCTTGTAACTCCTCCTGTAACTCCTCTTGTAACTCCTCCTGTCACACCTCCTGTAACTCCTCTTGTTTCTCCTCCTGTAACTCCTCTTGTAACTCCTCCTGTAACTCCTCTTGTAACTCCTCCTGTCACACCTCCTGTGTCTGCTCCTGTAACTCCTCTTGTTTCTCCTCCTGTAACACCTCCTGTCACTCCTCCTGTAACTCCTCCTGTGTCTGCTCCTGTTTCTCCTCCTGTGTCTCCTCCTGTAACTCCTCCTGTCTCTCCTCCTGTCACTCCTCCTGTAACTCCTCCGGTGTCTCCTCCTGTGTCTCCTCCTGTTTCTCCTCCTGTAACTCCTCCTGTTTCTCCTCCTGTAACTCCTCCTGTCTCTCCTCCTCTAACTCCTCCTGTAACTCCTCCTGTGTCTCCTCCTGTAACTCCTCCTGTGTCTCCTCCTGTAACTCCTCCTGTAACTCCTCCTGTGTCTCCTCCTGTAACTCCTCCTGTGTCTCCTCCTGTAACTCCTCCTGTAACTCCTCCTGTGTCTCCTCCTGTAACTCCTCCTGTAACTCCTCCTGTAACTCCTCCTGTGTCTCCTCCTGTAACTCCTCCTGTGTCTCCTCCTGTAACTCCTCCTGTAACTCCTCCTGTGTCTCCTCCTGTAACTCCTCCTGTAACTCCTCCTGTTTCTCCCTCTGTTACTCCTCATGTAACTCCTCCTGTAACTCCTCCTGTTTCTCCCTCTGTTACTCCTCATGTAACTCCTCCTGTTTCTCCTCCTGGTTCTCCCCCTGTGTCTCCTCCGGTGTCTCCCCTTGTGTCTCCTCCTGTCACTCTTCCTGTGTCTCCTCCTGTAACTCCTCCTGTAACTCCTCCTGTGTCTCCTCCTGGTTCTCCCCCTGTGTCTCCTCCTGTGTCTCCCCCTGTGTCTCCTCCTTTCACTCTTTCTGTTTCTCCTCCTGTAACTCCTCCCGTGTCTCCTCCTTTGTCTCCTCCTGGTTCTCCCCCTGTGTCTCCTCCTGTGTCTCCCCCTGTGTCTCCTCCTGTAACTCCTCCATTTTCTCCCTCTGTTACTCCTCCTGTAACTCCTCCTGTTTCTCCTCCTGGTTCTCCCCCTGTGTCTCCTCCGGTGTCTCCCCTTGTGTCTCCTCCTGTCACTCTTCCTGTGTCTCCTCCTGTAACTCCTCCTGTAACTCCTCCTGTGTCTCCTCCTGGTTCTCCCCCTGTGTCTCCTCCTGTGTCTCCCCCTGTGTCTCCTCCTGTAACTCCTCTTGTTTCTCCTCCTGTAACTCCTCCTGTTTCTCCTCCTGTGTCTCCCCCTGTTACTCCTCCTGTAACTCCTCCTGTTTCTCCTCCTGTTTCTCCTCCCGTCTCTCCTCCCGTCTCTCCTCCTGTTTCTCCTCCTGTTTCTCCTCCTCTAACTCCTCTTGTAACTCCTCCTGTCTCTCCTCCTGTCACTCCTCCTGTAACTCCTCCTGTCTCTCCTCCTGTAACTCCTCTTGTTTCTCCTCCTGTAACTCCTCCTGTTTCTCCTCTTGTAACTCCTCCTGTCTCTCCTCCTGTCACTCCTCCTGTAACTCCTCCTGTAACTCCTCCTGTCTCTCCTCCTGTAACTCCTCCTGTCTCTCCTCCTGTAACTCCTCCTGTCTCTCCTCCTGTAACTCCTCCTGTCTCTCCTCCTGTTACTCCTCCTGTCACACCTCCTGTAACTCCTCTTGTTTCTCCTCCTGTAACTCCTCTTGTTTCTCCTCCTGTTACTCCTCCTGTAACTCCTCTTGTTTCTCCTCCTGTCTCTCCTCCTGTCACTCCTCCTGGGTCTCCTCCTGGTTCTCCTCCTGTAACTCCTCTTGTTTCTCCTCCTGTAACTCCTCCTGTTTCTCCTCCTGTAACTCCTCTTGTAACTCCTCCTGTAACTCCTCTTGTAACTCCTCCTGTCACACCTCCTGTAACTCCTCTTGTTTCTCCTCCTGTAACTCCTCTTGTAACTCCTCCTGTAACTCCTCTTGTAACTCCTCCTGTCACACCTCCTGTGTCTGCTCCTGTAACTCCTCTTGTTTCTCCTCCTGTAACACCTCCTGTCACTCCTCCTGTAACTCCTCCTGTGTCTGCTCCTGTTTCTCCTCCTGTGTCTCCTCCTGTAACTCCTCCTGTCTCTCCTCCTGTCACTCCTCCTGTAACTCCTCCGGTGTCTCCTCCTGTGTCTCCTCCTGTTTCTCCTCCTGTAACTCCTCCTGTTTCTCCTCCTGTAACTCCTCCTGTCTCTCCTCCTCTAACTCCTCCTGTAACTCCTCCTGTGTCTCCTCCTGTAACTCCTCCTGTGTCTCCTCCTGTAACTCCTCCTGTAACTCCTCCTGTGTCTCCTCCTGTAACTCCTCCTGTGTCTCCTCCTGTAACTCCTCCTGTAACTCCTCCTGTGTCTCCTCCTGTAACTCCTCCTGTAACTCCTCCTGTAACTCCTCCTGTGTCTCCTCCTGTAACTCCTCCTGTGTCTCCTCCTGTAACTCCTCCTGTAACTCCTCCTGTGTCTCCTCCTGTAACTCCTCCTGTAACTCCTCCTGTAACTCCTCCTGTGTCTCCTCCTGTAACTCCTCCTGTAACTCCTCCTGTGTCTCCTCCTGTGTCTCCTCCTGTAACTCCTCCTGTGTCTCCTCCTGTAACTCCTCCTGTGTCTCCTCCTGTAACTCCTCCTGTAACTCCTCCTGTGTCTCCTCCTTTAACTCCTTCTGTGTCTCCTCCTGTAACTCCTCCTGTAACTCCTCCTGTGTCTCCTCCTGTAACTCCTCCTGTAACTCCTCCTGTGTCTCCTCCTGTAACTCCTCCTGTAACTCCTCCTGTGTCTCCTCCTGTAACTCCTCCTGTAACTCCTCCTGTGTCTCCTCCTGTAACTCCTCCTGTAACTCCTCCCGTGTCTCCTCCTTTAACTCCTTCTGTGTCTCCTCCTGTAACTCCTCCTGTGTCTCCTCCTGTAACTCCTCCTGTGTCTCCTCCTGTAACTCCTCCTGTGTCTCCTCCTGTAACTCCTCCTGTGTCTCCTCCTGTAACTCCTCCTGTAACTCCTCCTGTGTCTCCTCCTGTAACTCCTCCTGTGTCTCCTCCTGTAACTCCTCCTGTGTCTCCTCCTGTAACTCCTCCTGTAACTCCTCCTGTAACTCCTCCTGTAACTCCTCCTGTGTCTCCTCCTGTAACTCCTCCTGTAACTCCTCCTGTGTCTCCTCCTGTAACTCCTCCTGTAACTCCTCCTGTGTCTCCTCCTGTAACTCCTCCTGTAACTCCTCCTGTGTCTCCTCCTGTAACTCCTCCTGTGTCTCCTCCTGTAACTCCTCCTGTAACTCCTCCTGTGTCTCCTCCTGTAACTCCTCCTGTAACTCCTCCTGTGTCTCCTCCTGTAACTCCTCCTGTAACTCCTCCCGTGTCTCCTCCTGTAACTCCTCCCGTGTCTCCTCCTGTAACTCCTCCCGTGTCTCCTCCTGTAACTCCTCCTGTGTCTCCTCCTGTAACTCCTCCTGTGTCTCCTCCTGTAACTCCTCCTGTGTCTCCTCCTGTAACTCCTCCTGTAACTCCTCCTGTGTCTCCTCCTGTAACTCCTCCTGTAACTCCTCCTGTAACTCCTCCTGTAACTCCTCCTGTGTCTCCTCCTGTAACTCCTCCTGTAACTCCTCCTGTGTCTCCTCCTGTAACTCCTCCTGTGTCTCCTCCTGTAACTCCTCCTGTGTCTCCTCCTGTAACTCCTCCTGTAACTCCTCCTGTGTCTCCTCCTGTGTCTCCTCCTGTAACTCCTCCTGTGTCTCCTCCTGTAACTCCTCCTGTAACTCCTCCTGTGTCTCCTCCTGTAACTCCTCCTGTGTCTCCTCCTGTAACTCCTCCTGTAACTCCTCCTGTAACTCCTCCTGTAACTCCTCCTGTGTCTCCTCCTGTAACTCCTCCTGTAACTCCTCCTGTGTCTCCTCCTGTAACTCCTCCTGTGTCTCCTCCTGTAACTCCTCCTGTGTCTCCTCCTGTAACTCCTCCTGTAACTCCTCCTGTAACTCCTCCTGTGTCTCCTCCTGTAACTCCTCCTGTGTCTCCTTCTGTAACTCCTCCTGTAACTCCTCCTGTGTCTCCTCCTGTAACTCCTCCTGTGTCTCCTCCTGTGTCTCCTCCTGTAACTCCTCCTGTAACTCCTCCTGTGTCTCCTCCTGTAACTCCTCCTGTGTCTCCTCCTGTGTCTCCTCCTGTAACTCCTCCTGTGTCTCCTCCTGTAACTCCTCCTGTAACTCCTCCTGTGTCTCCTCCTGTAACTCCTCCTGTAACTCCTCCTGTGTCTCCTCCTGTAACTCCTCCTGTGTCTCCTCCTGTAACTCCTCCTGTAACTCCTCCTGTAACTCCTCCTGTGTCTCCTCCTGTAACTCCTCCTGTGTCTCCTCCTGTAACTCCTCCTGTAACTCCTCCTGTGTCTCCTCCTGTAACTCCTCCTGTGTCTCCTCCTGTAACTCCTCCTGTAACTCCTCCTGTGTCTCCTCCTGTAACTCCTCCTGTGTCTCCTCCTGTAACTCCTCCTGTAACTCCTCCTGTAACTCCTTCTGTAACACCTCCTGTAACTCCTCCTGTAACTCCTCCTGTGTCTCCTCCTGTAACTCCTCCTGTAACTCCTCCTGTGTCTCCTCCTGTAACTCCTCCTGTAACTCCTCCTGTGTCTCCTCCTGTAACTCCTCCTGTGTCTCCTCCTGTGTCTCCTCCTGTAACTCCTCCTGTGTCTCCTCCTGTAACTCCTCCTGTAACTCCTCCTGTGTCTCCTCCTGTAACTCCTCCTGTAACTCCTCCTGTGTCTCCTCCTGTAACTCCTCCTGTGTCTCCTCCTGTAACTCCTCCTGTAACTCCTCCTGTAACTCCTCCTGTGTCTCCTCCTGTAACTCCTCCTGTGTCTCCTCCTGTAACTCCTCCTGTAACTCCTCCTGTGTCTCCTCCTGTAACTCCTCCTGTGTCTCCTCCTGTAACTCCTCCTGTAACTCCTCCTGTGTCTCCTCCTGTAACTCCTCCTGTGTCTCCTCCTGTAACTCCTCCTGTAACTCCTCCTGTAACTCCTTCTGTAACACCTCCTGTAACTCCTCCTGTAACTCCTCCTGTGTCTCCTCCTGTAACTCCTCCTGTAACTCCTCCTGTGTCTCCTCCTGTAACTCCTCCTGTAACTCCTCCTGTAACTCCTCCTGTGTCTCCTCCTGTAACTCCTCCTGTAACTCCTCCTGTGTCTCCTCCTGTAACTCCTCCTGTAACTCCTCCTGTGTCTCCTCCTGTAACTCCTCCTGTGTCTCCTCCTGTGTCTCCTCCTGTAACTCCTCCTGTGTCTCCTCCTGACAGCATGGCCGTGTGAAGGTTAAAACCACGGCGCAGCAGGAGGAGGAGAAGAGGAAGGAGCGTGAGAAGAAGCTGCAGATCTATGTTGCTGCTCGTGACGCCTGCTTCACCAAGGTTCTCTCAGCTGCTGATCATAGAAATGTTAAAACCATCTTTACTTTAAATGATTTTAAAGTGTTTTTTCTTCCACCTTTTATCTTTTCAGTGTTTCAGTTTATTATTGTCGAATAAAATAACACTAATAAGTTATTAGAATTAAAAGCAAATCTCATCTGTGAAGCAAACATTATGATCCTTAATGGTTCCAGTATCTTAAACTTATTTATTCTTCTTTACATTTTTTTTCTCCATTTTCTAAAGTTGCAGCTATTTTAACCCTTTATAGGACAAGTTACCATTTCTGATCTCTTGCAAACTGCTTACAAATGGAGTCCCCCCGTCCCTCAGTGAGGTCTAGAAGCACTAGATCTATAGCCATTCAACAAAGATACTAATACATGGCCGTACATCTGATTTTGGCCTTTGACCAGTTAGAAGAGTCATTGAATGATAGATTACCTGCTGGAAATTATGCTGGAAAAAAGTTAACAAGTCAAGGAAAGAATGTAAAAAAAAAAAAAGCTAATTAAAAATTTAAAAAGTAAATTAAAAAGTGAATAAGCCATGTGAATAAGTTACACAATTATATTTAGGTATATAAACTAAAAAATGTCAGTGCCAGTATCCGCATTAATGCCTCTAAGGTTGGACCAAACAAGATGTGTTTCTTTCACTCTGATTGTTTTTCATGAATTTCTTATAGAAACACTTATTTTTGTTATTTTTCTTAATATATTTGGGCTAGTTGGTGTTCTTGTTATTACATTGATATTCACTTTTTGCCATCAAAATGTTTCAAAGGTACTATGGTCTTCCAATAATTTAATATTCCAATAACACTATTGGCTGGAAATGTGGATTTTCAAAGGATTTCACTGACTGCCCTATAAAGGGTTAAAGAGAAAAGGATTCATTATTATCTCTCTTTTTTTTTTATAAACATCAATCTAAAAAGATGAGGTTTTTATCATATTCAGCCCTCAAATGAGGTACCCTAAAATAAAAGCCTGATCAACCATTTTCCCTTCTGAAGATTTCTAGTTATTATTCAGGCTGTGATGTTATTAGTTGGTGTTGAACCGACACTGAAAGGGGCGGGGCCCCGATCCAGCACTAAAATGGTGGTATCGGTATCGGTGAGTACCAACCAATAGGGCATCGATACCATTTAGAGATCCAAAAGTTTCTTCAACTATTGTCACCCATTCCAGGTAGGCAATGAAAAGTTCTACTGGATTCACTTTGTTTTAGTCTTTGATGATGATATCGGTATGGGCCGATGCGGCACAGCCAGGTACCGGGTATCAGGGCAAAAAATGGCATCAGTCCAACACTATTATTCATCTAAGTAAAGATTTGCTGAGGCTTCGGAGGTTTGTTAGAGATCATAAATGAACAGAGAGCATCCAGAGACACTGAGGACCAAAGGAACCAGTGTTGTTTTCGCCAATGATGATGAAATCATTTCGTTGACGCTCCTTTTTTTTTCATGACGATAACGGAAACTGTTAACCTAAACATGGATGTTTGATGACCAAAATATGAGAGCCGTTAGGGTGAGTTTTGGTTGACGAGACTCAATAAAAATGAGCGGCTGATCAGTCAGATGTTTAAATGCATCATTGTGCTGTAATCAGCCGGGCTGCTGCGTCCTGTTTGGTCACGCCGCCACCTGCCGTGCAGCGCTGCTCATTCTGCATGGCCACAGGTGGATCATGGCGGCAGCAGTAGGGATGAAGTAACCTGGAATGATCCGCTACTGCAACCTGAACTCTGACTAACTCTGATCTTCCAGCTGTGCAGAAATGCGTCTTTGCGCGGCTTAGCTCAGAGTCTGCGCTTTATGCTCCACTCTGATGGTTCGCTCTTCCTGCTCTCGCTTCTTAATAAACTACATGTGGCTGATCATCCTCTGCCAAGCGTAATAAATCCCTTTGCCTAAATATCAAGATTATTTTTGGATTAAGATCCAGATGCTTTTTTAGAGCAATGCAGATTTTATTGATCTGTGTTTAAAGCAGGAATCATAGTAGATCAGGAAGTGTTTGTTCTGGGATGGAAACACTGGATGATAAAATCCTTCCTTTATTGGACATTCTGTCAGCTCGTCTGTCTGCTAGATTAACCAATAGGATGTTTTAAACTAGATCTGCTATTTTCACAGCTTCTCTGAGACACTTTTTTTTTTATATAAAGTAGGGAATTAATTGATAAAAAAAGTTTATTTGAATCTATAAATCAGAGTTTTCTGCCCAGCAGCAACGATGAACTGAATGTCAGCATTCTATACCCAGCTGCTGTAGCATCTAGGATAGAGCTGCAGGCTGGGAAATAATCTGGTTTTTATTCCAAATTGTAAAGGTTACATTTTTATGAAGTGCAACATAAACTGAGTAAAACTATCACATATGGTTATGACTAAAATGTGACTAAGACTTTTTTTTAGAGGAAGGATGGCGTTTTTGATGACGAGGCTCTGCAGCTGACCCAGCAGCTCCTTTCTTCAAACCCTGACTTTGCAACCCTCTGGAACTACCGCCGTGAAATCCTGATGCACCTGGAAACTGTCAGGTTGGTGGATTTTTTTCCTCCTCTGCTGATCTTTAAGCTAATTGGAGGAAAAACGCCTGGTTTCTCCGTATCCTGCCCAGAAACCAGGACGAGGTGCAGAAGATTTACGAGGCTGAGTTGTCGTTTCTGGAGTCCTGCCTGAAAGTGAACCCAAAGTCTTATGGCAGCTGGCACCACCGCGGCTGGGTCTCAGCCCGCCTGCCTCGCCCGGACTGGGCCAGAGAGCTGAGCCTCTGCGATCGCTGCTTAAGCCTTGACGACCGCAACTGTGAGTCAGTGGAAGCAGGAAGTTATCCGACCCCAGAAAGTCTCTTTTTGTCTGAGTGGTTGACTGTCTCTATGATCCTTTCCCTCCCAGTCCACTGCTGGGATTACCGGCGGATGGTCGTGAAGATGTCCGGCGTTCCCGTGAAGCAGGAGTTAGATTTCACCGATCGCCTCATCGGCTCCAACTTTTCCAACTACTCCAGCTGGCACTACCGCAGCACCCTGCTCCCACTGCTCCACCCGCAGGCCCCAGAGACACCCTCCCAGTGTGGTAACCCTCCCCCCTCCGCCTCCCCCCAGACTCACTTCCACCGGGTGTGTGAAGAGCAGCTGCTTAAAGGTGAACGGCAGCCTGCAGTGCAGCGTCGCCGCAGACAGGGGGCAGTCTAAGCCTGCATATCTCACTGCTTTCTGTTTATTCACTGGATTGAAGTGAATCCACTGGCCGCCATATTGGTACTCCCTAATTAGACCACTCACAATATAAACAATCTGTGCTACAGCATCGAACAACCATGATGTTCTCTTTTTCTGGGGAACTGAAGACTTTTAAAATAGAGATAAATTCATGACTTTGACACAGACTGGCTGTTTTATAGCAGATTAACTTTAACTTATAATTAATAAATAGTTAATAAAGTCTATAAATCATGTAATATAACATATTATACAAATAAATCACAATCAAATTAATGTGTTAATGGAGAATAATAATACTGATGAGCCAAAAGTGCTAAATTGATGATGTTCATGTAATATACATGGATTTATTACATTGTTATGATAATTACATCTTATAGATAATTTAAAGATTTAACATCAGGACTGAATTATCAGTTCATGTCTGTTAACGCTGTAGATCAGGGGAACCATTTAAAAACCAGCAGGTCAGAATAAAAACCATCAACTAGTAAAGGTCTGCAGACATTTTTAATTAGAATCCGTTAGTTTAAAAAGAATTTAACACTGAAATAAATGCAGGTTTTTATGCATCAATGTTATACGCTGACTTAAAAAAAAATGGAAAATTTTTCCATTTTAAAATCTAAAGTATTTTAAGTAGAGAACAACAATCGTTCAGTTTGGTTTATAGATAATTTCCTGATTCCCATCTTTTCTCAAACCCCTGAACTGATGGTTTGTTGTTTTCTTTCTTTTTTCTGTGTTAATGTTGGCAGTGGGCTTTAGGCTGCCCTGCAAGGCTTTAAACCTGGGTTTAACCGGAGACTAAGCCATTCTCAAGCACATATCAAGGAGCTCATTTTGAGCCTGGATCCAGATTTATTGTTGATTCTGTTCATGGTGGAGAATCCTGCTTCACAGCAGCAGGTTGAGCCAAACATCCTCTAAATGTGCAGGGTCATCTTTGGGAAATTAGCAGTGGAACGTCTTCCTGCAGACAGAAAACTGCTGGTTTTAGCAGCTAAAAGCTGAACAGGGAGGCATTTTTACGGAGCGTCTCTGTGGGAGTGGGGAGTACCAATATGGCGACTGGTGGCCTCACTTTTTTTTCGGGCAATCCAGTGAATAAATGGAGATCAGTATGTCTGCGTTAAACTGATGTCTTATTTTAATTGTGATGTGTTTTGTTCCAGAATATGAGCTGGTTCAGAACGCTTTCTTCACCGACCCGAATGACCAGAGTGCTTGGTTCTATTACCGCTGGCTCTTAGGCAGAGGTACACGGCTCTCCACCTGCAGCTTTATTTACTGTTTCTTTACAAACATCAAAAAGGAAGCTTTTGCTAAATTATTAGATTTTAGAATTAAGGGATTGACTTAAAGTTCTCTTTATTAGAACAACACTAGTTTATTTGGGTTTACTCACTTTTTAAAAGTATTAACATCCATTAGATCTTTCTACATTTTGTCATTTATATCTAAGTTTCCATTAAGATTCAGGGTAATGCACCCAGTATGTTTATGGAGGGGAGGGAAAAGGACATGTAGATAAAAATATATATTTATACAGAAACAATAAAACATATCACCTGCATAAAATATGATCTATTCAGTTTATTTCTATAGCTGCAATTCACATCATGTCATCTCAGGTCACTTTCCAGTTCACCAGATCATCCAGTCAGATTGATTCAAAGTTTTCTATCTAAGGAAAACCAGCTGATTGCATCGACTCATTGAATCTTCAGCAATCCCTCACACTAAGCATGCTTGTAGCGACAGTGGAGAGGAAAAACTCCCTTTGAACATCCCTTTTATACATTCATAAAGGGCTTTTATAAGCTCCTTCACAATCACAGATCTTCTGTTTTTGCTTTTTTTCTGAATGTTTGAGATCATAAAACAAATATAGAGTTAGGTTTTCAGTTTTGTTTTTTTCCTTCTTAGATTAGAAACTAGCTAAACCAACTTGGTTCTATGAGAGGAAACTACTCACCTCCCTCATTAAAACATAAAGGACCTTTGATTTAACCAGATATAAAAAAGCTGAGTATCGTCTTCACATGATTTGAAAATCTATAAGCAGTTAAATGCTTCTTCATGCTAGATAATATTAGGGAGGAGATCCCTGAGGTGAAGCATAGCGGTGGCCGCATCATGCTGTGGGGGTTTCTCTATAGCTGGGACAGGATTTGATCATTGGATGATGAAGCTGAATGGATGTAAAAGCAGAGATCTTTTAGTGTTTATTCTCAAACATTATATTTATTTAGCACTTCCTGTTCGTAATGGTTGAAGTAGGACTCAGAGGAAACTTTTCAAGAACATAGGAGGTTGTTTCTAAGCTGCCTGTTCTTCAAGAAGGAAAGTTCTCAAGAAATTAAACTTGATTTAAAAGTTTAAGTTTGGGTAATGAAAAGTGAGTCGAGTGTTTTTGGATGAAATCTAAAGCAGCTTTAAATCTGCCGCAGCAGAGACTCAGAAAGACGGTTTCTTTCACAGTTATCAGGAAAATCTTGGCTGGATGTTTGGCAGCAACAAGCAAACCGTTAGGAAAATACAAAATGAGACGTTTCTGCCCAACAAAGAGCAGAGAGAGAAAAGCAAACTTTAAATCAGTTTTACAAAATATACACAAACATGTATAAACATTTTAAACATTTTATGTATAAAAATCATCCTAGATGGAGCCGAATGGAACACTGCAAAAATCTAAATCTAGACTAGTCAGTTTTTTCTTAAAATAAGTGTATTTGTTCTTGAATTGAGGAGATAAAAGAGACATATTGCAAGACAATTTACACTTAGAATAGAAAAACACAATTGCATTGTCTTATTTCGAGTGCATTTTAACTAACTATCTTATTTTGAAGGTAAAATTACTCATTCCATTGGCAAAATATCTTATTTACCTTCTCAAATTAAGGGTGAATACACTTAATTTAGGAAATTTTTACTTACTTCTAGATCGTTTTTGCACTGAAAATCCTAAAGTGTGGAAAAGATTGCAGTGAAAACAAACCTGGAATCAAAGTTTGCCTTAAAAACATTTTTTTTAGCCAATTTCCAAAGATTTGCTGTCTGTTAATTTAATTCCTCCATTCTTATTAAAATGATCTTCTAAGCATTTGCATGTAGCATTTGAAGCAGGGCTTAATTTCTTTTTTTCATTAAGCTAAAGGTAAAATATCATCCTCAACATCAGTTTTAGACTCTAAAAATGCAAAAAATTGTAATTTTTCTTAAAATAATTGAAATTTTTCTTGAATTAAGGAGTGAAGTGAGACATTTTGCCAATAGAACAAGACTATTTACATTTAACATGAGAAAAAACACAATTGCATTTTCTTATTCAAGTGCATAATATCGAATAACCTTAAGAGTGAAAATACTAATTGCATTTGCAAATCATCTTATTTACTTTATCAAATTAAGGCTAAATACACTTAATTTCAGGCATTTTACTCGTTTTTTGATCGTTTTTGCAGTGAATGTGTGAACTTTTCACCGTAGCGTAGACTTTCCAGTTTGTTCTGCTATTTGTTACACTTTGCGATTCCTTACAGGCGAATTTGAAATGTTTTTTCATTTGTTTTGATGTTTCTTTTAACCAGCGGAGCGAGATGAGATGATAAGCTGCGTGTACGTGAGTCGGGAGGAGGAGAGAGTCGCCGTCGCCTTCTCCAGGCCCGTCAATGTCAGCACCTTTCTTCTCTGCTTTTTATTTTTAGTGTTTTTTTCTGAAGCACTTCTCTGCCTGTAATCACACCTTCTCAAACTCTCCTGGCTATTTCTCCATAAAACAAGTAGTTCTTTTATCCGTCTGCCTGAGGAGTATGTTTGTTCTTCATCCAGCCTTGTCCTCCTCCAGGCGCAGTCGGTGGGGCTCCTGCTGATCCTGGATGGTCAGCCTCAGAGGGTGGAGTGGCAGAGCGTCCACCCACACTTCAAAAACAGCCCCGTCTGGGTATCCTTTTATTTACCAACGCTTTGCTGCTTTTCACTTCTCATATAAAGCAGCGTGTATGTCAGGGCGGGGGGGGGGGGGGTGTGGAACATTTAATGGCAGTCATTGACTCTGGCTACTGGTTTTATTTTACATTCACTATTCCTTTCATTTCCAAGCAGAAGAAGGTTTATGGTGATTTATTTAAAACAGGGAAATAAATATTCCCATTCTTTGGTCCTCGGCTTGATTAAGCAGCTGTAGTGCGGCTCTCCAGGCTTCTTACAAATAAGCAGAGGACAAACCTGGATGGAGAGTTTTCTGATTATTCATGGCAGGAAGCGTCAGCTTGGAGGTTAAACAAGAAACAAAACTGCACAGATTCATTCAGGCCTCTCCCTGGATCCCATATTCAATTCACTGATCATGATTATTCTGTTTTCTTAAAAGGAAAAGTCGCTCATATTCAGAATTCAAACTTCTGAAAGTTCTTCAAATCTGAAATGATTCCATCCTGTTCAATAAATGATCAGTGTTTTTAATTCAGAGTCATTTTCATGTGAATGTGCTTTACTGGAGGCATCCATGTTTGTCAAAGAACACTACTGCCACCTACTGGTTAGTGACGTCACGGTGCGGTATCGGCTGTTGATCAAGTCCCATGCTGTATCTGGTGTTTGTCACAACGCGCTATTATCATCACACCTAAGGAGGATTTAGAGAAGGCAATGAACCTAACAATCATGTTTTTGGACTGTAGGAGGAAGCAGGAGTACCTGGAGAGAACCCACACATGCTCAGGGAGAACATGCAGACTCCAAGCAGACAGACCCGGGCCGTTGTTCTGTCAGACCAGCGTACCCAGAGTCAATACCTGTTTATTTCTTACTTAAAATAAACTTTGAACCACCTCTTTGGACGTCTATCCCTTTAGTCGTACAAAAAACTTTTTCACTACTGAGTTTTTGATGTTTTTTGAAGTGTATGGCGATCTGACCTTAAATAGTGTTTATGTACATGATTAAAGGGATACACGCCCATTTAGGTAGTTTAGTCTATTTTTTGTACAAAACTAAAAGGATAAAAGCCAATCTGGCGTCTTGTGATCTGAAAGAACACAGGGAATCAAACCCAGAACCTTCTTACTCCAAGACAGCAGTGCTGCTCACTGCGCCACAGAGCAGCCACAGAAACACCACTTTTAGGTAAACATTGATTTATTTGAGGAGGTTTCAGGAACATCTTGTCGTAAATTTTTGTTTTACGCCATCATTCGGTTCCCAGTTCCTTCATTTCTGTGGCCGATAGTCTGGCTATGGACACGTTTATACAGCTCACCACACACACAGCAGTACAGTAAAGGAAGTCAGTAAATAATGTGTTTCTGTATTCCAAGGGATTTAGATTATCTTAGGTGCAATAATCGCTGAAAACATGGAGTTTATTAAGTCGGCTTTGCTCAGGAAAGAACTGAGGTTCAGATTTAAATGCATCAATCCTGCCCGGTGCATCCAGTCAGGATGTCTGCTGGAGGATCTATGATTCTGTGGGCTTCTTTGCTTTCTGAACTTTGTTAGAATTTGAAATATCTGAAGACTTCGAACTAAGAATAAAAGTTACACCGGAAACATAAAACCTCGTTATTAGCGGCTCCTTTAAAAGATTAATGATAAAATATACCCAAATCTCCCAAAAAACGGTTCTCTACACAACAAAACAACTGTTGGTTTAGTTCCCAGATCTAGATCCTATAGAAATACAGTTTGTTGACATGAGGGAAAGAAACAGTCAGCAGACTCTAAACAGTTTTTTTTTAAACTTTTAATAACTCTTATTTACACAATTCAAACAATAGAATCAATTATTGATGTAAAACAAGTGTCAGTTTAAAAATATTTAAATGGGGATCTTGTTAAACTGTAGTTTTCCTTCATCTGACACAGAACATCAAATGTTGTTAAAACCCCACAGATGATTAAATCCTCCATGTTCTAAATGGAAGGTAAACTCCAGCCTTATCCTGGCTTTAACCTCAGAGTCACGGCATCAAGGTGAGGTCTGACTCTGAGGGACAGGGGGAACTTTCTGACAGTCCCCACCAATAATCTCTGCTTTATTTCCCTTTCCACTCATTTACTTTATCCAAAGGTAGCAGAGGGTGGCTGCAGCTGTCTCTGCTCAGAGTTTATTCCTCTTGGTGTAACATCATCGGATCTGTTGTTCTGAGGCATCTGATTGGTGGTCGCATTACACTGCGTACAGAGTCGCTGCGTGGAGGAGGAGGAGACACACAGCAGCATGTTTTATTCTTTACTAGTTAAAAGAAGCTGGGCTTCTCAGAGGACCGTCAGTTCCAGGTTAAAATGTTTTCTTATTGAACAGACAGAATCAGACTGCAGAGCTTCTACAGATCTAGAAATGTTGTTTCTGGCATCATTATATTAGTAAAGGTTCATAGATCTTTTTAGAGAGAGCAGAGAGAGAAGTAGGGAAGCTGCAGATTTAAAGGTGAAACAGGTTTACAGTAGCTTAGTAAACTAGCTCCACCCACCAACGAAGTTAAGAGTTAAAAGTTAAAACAATCGCTTCTTAAAATGCAATTATTTTCTCCACAGAATAATTTTATACAAATGAAATGTTTGTCAGTAATCCCACAAATTATGCTGCTGCAATAGAAAATAGATGATTTTTTCGGAGGCTTTTAAGAAAAGTCCTTCCCACGAGCGCCAATAAATGTAACTGGTTGTATTTTTCTCTCATCTTTTCACTGCTTTTCCTTTCTGGAAACCGGCCATCACTGAATGATCCTGCTTCACGCTTTGGTTCTGAGCAGATTTATTCTGAAGTGTTTTCCTCCAAATCGATTTCTCCTGCATCTTTTTCTTCTTGGGGAATCGAACGATTGATGCTCTGACCCTCCGTGACCTTAACTCTGCCTCAGATCTGCAGCCTGCCTCCAGGAACAATCAGCGACGTCGCCAACGAACACAATCTGACGGTGCACTGGACGGAGAAGCACAGCCACAGGGACTGCGCCCTGTACACAGGTGATGCTCAGACCACACTCTAAGCTGATCTCTGTTTCCCATCGGCTCACCGTTCCCTCTGCCTCTCGTCCTCCAAAGGTCGGAGTGAGAGCTGGTGTCGGGACACAGCTACAGACCTCGAACTGTTCAGGTGCCGTTTTTGCATATTTGCTGCACTTTTTGCAAACTTTAGATGTTTTTTTTAGATGAAATGAAGCTGGTAATGTGTCTCTGTAGGAGTGAACTCTCCGTAGAGAAGACCTCGGTGTTGCAGTCGGAGCTGCAATCCGTCAGGCAGCTACAAGAACTGGAGCCTCTTAATAAATGTAGGTGCAGACGTTACATTTCCAGCATAAATTCATACGTTTACCCATCATGAACCTTTAGCTCATTTGGGCTTTAATTCTGCACCTAAACTGTTTGTGTTTCAAAGTAAAACAGGGTTTATTCAGGAATGAGTAACTCCAATTTAATGCTTTTAATGCTCTTAGAAATGATTTTAATGCCATCAACAAGCATCCATGACTGTCATATATATATTTATATATATATATATATATATAAATAAATAACGTGGCAAACTCCTTTGTCATCTTCACGTGCAGCCATGTCCTGAATTCCTCGTTTTTCAGCCAATTTTGTTGTAATTAGCATTTTCCTATTCTCTAGCTTTTTATCCGCCTCGAGTTTCTTTTCCCAACATATAGCTTTACGATCAACCTGAAGAAGTTCCACGCAAATATATTGCTATATCAGGGTTTCTGCAGGTCATTAAAAATAATTTAAAGTCATTAAATTATTATTTTTTAGGCCTTAATTAAGGCATTGAAATTCAGTAAATGTAATCATAGTTGCATTTAAAATGCTTTATTAAAAACAAAAAACAAGTTCATGAAAACAGTTTTGTCAGATATATTATATCAGATATAACAGTTCTGCATCTTTGCGTGGAGCTGCTTCCGGTTCATCATAAACCTTTATGTTTGGAAAAGAAGCTGGAGGCGGAGAAAAAGCTAGAAGATGGAAAAACGCAGAAGTGGCGTGAAAACTAGGAATTCAGGACATGGCTGCTGCCTGTAGACAGTGAAGAAGATGAAGGATTTTGTCGTGTTTTTAATATATTTATATAAATATATAAATAATGAGAGATTCATGGGTACTTGTCGACATTGTTGGCATTAAAATAATTTCTAAGACTATTAAAAAGCATTAAATTAGAGTTACTCATTCCTGTATGAGACCCTTATATAACATATCTGATGAAATAGTTTTTATAAACTTTTTTTTAAATAAAGCATTATAAATGCAGCAATAATCACATTTAATGAAGTTTAATGCCAATTAAGGCCTTAATTTAAATAATAATTTAATGACGTAATGATTTTTAATGACCCACAGACACTGGTTACAGATGTAAGCGGTTTTAACTAGTATTGAATCTTTGTCATCTTGCTAGTGCGGTCAGCTGTAAGTGAGACTTCTGCTCCTGAGGTTGATGGTTTAAAACCCACTTCTGACTTTTGAAAGTTGTGATAAAACTTTTTTTTTGGCTAATGTGACTAATTATTATTGGTTTGCCCCCAGTACAAATATAGATTGGGTAAAAAAACACTGCCAAAGTTAGTTTGGTTGGTTTGACCAAAAGATTGGTTGAACACATAACTTCTAACCAAATTAAAACAAAAACTGTGGAGAAACTATTATGTTTGAATAAAAACGACTAACACCTTTCATATTGCTCATCATTGCCCAATTTGCACGCTTTCACTGTCTGCTTCAGCTTATTTCACTAAAATGGCAGAAAAACAGTGATTGTTTCCTTCTAATATATTTTACACGCGATAACTTACAAAAGATTTTATTATACAGACCAATCATTAATAATTTCAAAAGAACTTATGAGGGGAAAAAAACAAGAAAAACAATTTTAAAAAATCAGATTCTATTACTAACTGTAGTCCTACTTTCCACCAGTAGGTGGTGACCTGTTCACATGAGGATTCATGAACTATCGGTTCAATCTGAGCCTCATGAGGCCTCATCCAACCATCACTATGTTACTATCTGTAAAATGGCTGAGCTCAGAGCAGGGGGGGGCGTCCCAGAGCTCAGAGGGTCCCAACCAGTGCTGCTAAAACAATCAACACTTTATGCTCGTATGCGCATGCTCTGTGTGAGGGATTGCTGAAGAGTCAGCAACAAAATGCAAGAGAATATTGCAGCTGCAGATTCATCCAGGTGAAGCATGCCTTGCAAATCAACTGCTTTTCCTTCGTAGAAACCTTTAACCAGTCTGACTGAATTGGCTCTGGAAAAGGCCTTGAGATGACGTGTTGGGAATTGGACTATAGAAATAAACTGAATAGAATTAAACTGAGTAGAATTCAACATGACAAACATTTACCACTGGCAACAAACCAGGGGTGTCAAAACTATTAATGTTTGTTACTAAAGTATAAGTATATATCCTAATATTTCAAAATACTTTTGTAGAATTTGTCACGGTTGGACCCAAATGCAGAGGTGAGTTTTTGTAGATTTAATCAGTTAACTGAGGCAAGAATCCAAAAACCAAAGTATCAAATACAAGGAACCAAAAACCAGACAACTTCAGGGGAAAACTCAGGTGGGGAGCCAGGAAAAGACCAGGGACCGCAGAGGGAGAGTATATATGGGAGACAAAGACAGGACTAATGAGCTGATTGGGAGCAGGTGTGGATGGAAGCATCTAGAAGTAAGCCAAGGGGAAAGGAAACAAACACAAGGGGGCAGCAGAGTAACTCCAGAACAAACGACTGCTAGAAACCATTACAAATACAAAGAAACTAAAAATAAACTTAAATAGAGGGCAGAACCCTGATGGAATTTAGAGGATAAACTTCAGCTTTTTACTCCAGTAAAAGTAGCATTTTTAAAACTAGATAAATTATAAAAGTATAAATGAAACAAACTAAGGAGTTTATAATGTAAGGTGTAGGAAGTAGAGATAATTGCAAAGATATGTAAGGAGTAGAAGTAAAAATGGTCTAAAAAAGTTTTACTCCAATATAAATAGCCAAGTAAAGTAATGAAGTATTTGTACTTTGTTAATTGACGCCTCTGCAGTAAAAATGAGCAAAAATGTCTCTGGATCAGCTAAGAGATAAAGATTGTGGTGTTTGGCTGCAATGATTATAATATCTTTACTTCTAGACGTACACTTTTAAGATGTTTTTCAAATCTAAATTCAGATTTTTTTTATCCTAAAAAGTGAACATTTTAATGCATTCCTTCAAAACCTGAAATAATAAAGATTGTATATAAATGCCTGACTGTAAAAAGCAAAAAAACAAACAAACTTCATGGTATTAAAGTTTTGTGCTGCTGGCATTGCTTCCCTCTCATAGTAACTAACTATCCTGACTCCCTCTGAAGGGTGCTTGTTAACCATTATCCTCCTGATGAGGGCACTAGACCCTCTCGGCTACGAGAAGGAGACCCTTGCTCATTTCCAGACACTCAAAGTGAGTACCAGCCGTACGCGCCGTAAGTGTGTTTGTTCAGACCGCGGCCTGAGCGTGCTCCTCCTTCCTCCTTCAGGACGTGGACTCCATGCGCTCGGCGTATTACAGTGACCTGTGCAGCAAGTTCATGATTGAAAACACCATCCTGAAAATGGAGTACGCCGAAGTGCGAGTCTTCAGTATTTCTGACAGGGTTGGTCCTGATTTTTCTTTAATAAATAAAAAGAAAAAAATATATAATTTTTTTTCTTTTATCAAAGGAGAAACTGAAAAGCAATTTCCTGTGTGTCTCCAGAAGCTGACCACATTATGCCACCTGGACCAGCTGTTATTAGTTACTCACATCAATTTGTCGTCCAATCAGCTGCAGCAGCTGCCTCCTCAGTTTGCTATGTTGCAGTGCCTTGAGGTGAGGATGCCACCAATTTTAGTATAATTAACCCCCCCCCCCCCACACACACATGGTGGCAATGTTTGTTTTCCTTGGATGCTGTGAATAGAGTGAAACTGAAGGGCTGCCTGTTTGTCTCAACCTGCAGGTTCTGGAGGCTGATAACAACTCAATAGAGAACCTGGAGGGAGTTTATCACCTTCCCAAACTGGAGGAAGTCTCCTTGAAGAACAACAGTATCCTTTAACCTGCAGATTAATATTCAGCCGAGGGCCCGGGGGGGGGGATCTTTGTTTGCAGCAAAGCTGGGGGGACTGGATTATTTCTGCAGTCCGTGTCTCTCTGTCTGAGCCGTTCTGGTGACTCAAAGCGTGAATCAGGCCTCTGCCTCGCCGGTCAGACGGCGTGATCAGCTGATAGAAAGTGACGCAGACATAATTCTTCTCACCGCTGCTGGTGTCGACAGTGTTTATGAAATTGTTCATAAACACTTGAAACTTTGAGGAATGAAATGATGCGGAGGGGCAGCATATTAAAGCCGTTGGGAAATCATATATAAATGTTCTCTTTATCAGACCATAATGTCCCAAAATTTAGAACATTTCTGTTTAAAAAAAAATCCTGTCTTAAAAATCTGTTTTATTTTATCTTCTGCAGGCCAGTTAGTTCTACATCAGCCTGAACACCTAAATTCAGGCAATCATATATCAACGATCATCTGTCAATCATATTTTTTTCGGTCATAGCATCTTGATTCATGTGTCGCAGCTAATATACGCAACGGTTGAAACCAGAATCCTTTCCTTTCCCATTGAGTTGCGTCCCAGTGTTCACGGGGATGGACGTCTGTGTCTTCGGCAGGCGTAGAGCTAACAGAACTGGCAGCGTTGCGAGGCGAGGGCTCAAACATGTACGGCTGGAAGCCTTCTACACCAAACCAAGCTTCTGCCGCCCTGGCGTCCTCTTCCACAACATCTTCGTCCCCGCTTTCCTCCTCTAAATAAAAAATGGATGACGGAGGAGACTCATCCACGACCTCCGACACTAAACTCTCCTCCTCTTGCATGTTTCCTCTGTCCATAGCGTTCCTTGACAGCGTCGTTTCTAAGGCACCAATTTAGTGCTACTTGGTCCCAATGGAATTTCCCATTGGGAACCTGCTAGCACTAAGATGCTAACTGGCTAGCAAGATGCTTCAGAAAAAACCACACCTTGATAATCGATCAATCACTTTCACTTTATTCACTCGTGTAAAGTCGGGCACCCCTCGGGAGAATTTGGAAATGAAACGGCTGGAACAGCTGCTTCCCTACGACTTTAAGAGGACATACTTCACCGGGGGGAATTTACCATTAGGCAATATCAGGCAGCTGCCTAGGGCCCCCAAGTTCCTGGGGCCCCCATAAAACTCTGTTTGTATAGTTAATACAACTATTCTTTATTTGGGCACATTAATTATGTTTTTGATAAAAACCCTTTGGCTAAAATGCCATCAGAACGCTGATAATATTAAGTGTGTCTCAGCCCCCCCCTTCAGTGTCCACCATATTGGATCAGTCCATTTGCTGCACATGTTCAGAAAGGTCCAAACAGACAGCAGCAAACCATTTGAAAACAAACCATGCAAAGAGCAGTGTTGCCAACTTAGCGCTTTAGTCGCTATATTTAGCCACTTTTCAGACCCCTCTAGCACTTTGATTTCTAAAAAGCTCCTAGCGCCAAATCTAGAGACTTTTTTCTGCTACTGGAGACTTTGGAGACAACATCTAAAAGCAGCGAACTCTGCTCTCCAGAGCGAGTAGATTGGTAACCCCGCCTCCTGCTCTCCTCTATCTTGTCTGCTGTCATGATTCATGCAGCTATTATTTCATCCAAATGAAAAATGGAGAACAGAGAAGCAGATCATGGCTTGTCTACAGTGAAAAGAAGGACTGGGTTATTTACTTTGGCCTTTTTGGAAACACAGGAAGGAGCAATCAGCTAAGTGAGCTTAGTGCTTGGAAAAAATCTTTCATTCCTTTAGAGACAGCATGAAAAGTCAGCTGAGTACAAAACATAGAGAGGAAAACAAGAAGAGAGGGACACAACCTAGAACAGATAATGGATGCCTATTCTATTAACATTTCTCTATCTGGAGAATGGGGCTGTTTATGTGTTCTCAGTTCAGAGGGCCCCCTGCCTGTCTTTGCCTAGGGCCCCATATTTCTTGAATCCACTCCTGCTCCTAACACATCATTGTCATCCAGCTCATCCCTCTTCTGCTTCACTTTTTACAGACAGGAGAGGAATAGATGAGGTCTGCAGGTCATGACATCCTGGCTGTTTATTTTTATTCTTTGCAGTGACGGCTCACTCCTTTATAGGAAGAGTTTATTCCCATCTCAGTGTTGGAATCAACATGCGCAGCTTACATTTCCACCGCTCCCACCACATCTCATTATTCAGTATTACTCACCATAACACGCCAGCGGGACTCTTTTCTTTCTGTTATTTTTCATTAACCTGAACTCAGAGATCTCCACGCTGGCCGATCTTCAGCCTCTGGCATCCTGCCCCAAGCTGAAGCGCCTTGATCTCCGTGGAAACCCCATCACTCAGACGGCCAACGCCGAGTCGGAGTTGGCCGGGCTGCTGCCCTCCGTCACGGACCTCCTGCTCTGATCCGGTGGCCGTCCCGTGGTTCGCTCGTCTGTCCTTGTTCCGTAGCAGAATGAAAAGCCGTCTTCTCTCTTTTTTTCTGATATCTTGAAGTGTGTCGTGCCTCTGTTTGTTGGGAGACTGTCAGTCAGACGCTCTGACAGCCTGATGGTTCACAGCATTCATCACACACCTGTCTACGTTAAACTGTGTGACTGTGGGGAGGCGGATGCACGTTAACACATGATGCATTTCTTGCTTCGTGTGCTTGTGAGGACGTCTGGTTCCTAATGCATGCAGAGAAGGCGTGAAGTGGACACAGACTGGCGTGCAGCAATGCTGGTTCATACAGGCTGATCAGCATCATGTCGTTGTCATTATTTCTAAAGGTGATCTAAAAACATTCAATGACAAAATACTGTTGCACAGTAGATTCAATAAATCACAGCACACATTGTGTCACTGCCTTCTGCTCAGCTTTTTGTTTGTGATCTTCTTGTTTTTCAATAATTTTCTGGATGCATCTTAATTTCTGTTGTTTTTCTTTTTTCATTTTGGCCAAAGAATAATAAACTGATCTGAGACTCCCTCAATACCTTTAACCTTGTTGCTTTTTATTTTATACTACAAACAAATAGATTTTACAGGGATTTTATGTAACAGACCAACAAATTGGTGCTTAAAGGAAAAGTCTGGTCATATTCAGAATTCAAACTTCTGAAAGTTCTTTAAATATGAAATGATTCCATCCTGTTCAATAAATGATCAGTGTTTTTAATTCAGAGTAATTTTCATGTGAATGTGCTTTACTGGAGGCATCCATGTTTGTCAAAGAACACTACTGCCACCTACTGGTTAGTGACATTGTCACGGTGCGGTATCGGCTGTTGATCAAGTCCCAGTGCTGTATCTGGTGTTTGTCACAACGCGCTATTATCCAAGTCATCTTGAAAACATTCTTCTTCCAAATGTTGGCTACATATTACGGGTTTTTTCTCTGGCCAGAAGTTCGATGGCAAATCCTCCCTCTTCAAGTTGGCGATCCAACGACCAACCCGTCCGTGGAGGATCAGGAATCAGAAAGGTGGAATAACTCTTTTTTTCACTTTTACCCGATGTATTCCAGCATCCAGCTGCCATGCACGTGGGCATTGTCAGTTTCACTATAGCTCTGGTGAATTTCAATGGTGAAGTCCTCTGGAAATCTTCAATAATTGTTGTTGATTGCAGATGTGTCTAGTAGTTCCCATTGATTTAGCTTGGAAAGCGGGGAGAATGGCGCTAGGCTTACCGCACCATGACGTCACTGCTGGAAGATGGCAGGAGGGAGGGGCTACTATATTTGGGCAAAAATGGCCGCTCCCAGACTCAGTGATTGCGACGAAAGTTATTTTATTTTTTTACTGATTAAAGCTAAATTCATTAAATCACCGCAAATGTATTAGTTTGAGGTATAAATAATGATCCATTGATTATTCCTGCTGACCGGAATTTTCCTTTAACTGTTCTTTCTTTTTTTTGTCTTTAGTAATAAAAATCTTGTGCTTTTGTATTTAGTGAACCAATTCACTGCAGAGACTCCTTTAACTGACAAGAGCCCCCCCCAAAGTGTTATTTGTTCATTAATGTTCTCTAAGTAACGTCTTCTGTCTTCAAGGAGTTTCAGTTGGATTCATAATGAGATCAAAATCCCAACATGTGGCCTCCGGTTAACAGGTAATAGTCGTCTGCCTGGCTGTGTGTTTCCTGGACGGGGCCGCCTGTGGAGCTGGTTGACAGTTGCCTTTTGTATCTATGCTTCTTTTTCTATGTCTGCTTCTGTCTCCTTGAACCCCAGTGGGCCTCAGCAGATGGCCGCTCACACTGAGCCTGGTTCTGCTGGAGGTTTCTTCCTGTTCAAAGGGAGTTTTTCCTCTCCACTGTCGCTACAAGCATGCTTAGTGTGAGGGATTGCTGAAGAGTCAATGAGTCGATGCAATCAGCTGGTTTTCCTTAGATAGAAAACTTTGAATCAATCTGACTGGATGATCTGGTGAACTGGAAAGTGACCTGAGATGACATGATGTGAATTGGAGCTATAGAAATAAACTGAATAGAATAGAATAGAATAGCTAAAAGCTGGTGGTTTTCTTAGTTTTTATTTAAAGAAAGATATTTTCCTCTCCTGTTTTTCCAAATTTGCATTTCTAAGAATTTTTTAAATTAATATATTTTCCTTCTTCTCTATTAAGTACTAAATGGTTTTGGTCTGTTAAATAAAACACCTTCAAGTTTTGGTTTGTGATCAAAGAGTGAATCCATTGAGGAGGTTTTGTAGAAATATAAAACATAATGTCTTAGTTTATAGCAGGTTTTGATGGATGAATTTAGACGCTGTTTGGCATCAGGTAAAACCGGTGCGTCTGCCGCGATGTGTCATCTAATCTGCACTGATATGACATCACTCTCATTGTTCCCTTCTTTACCTTTTCACTGGGCTGGATTCAATGTTGCAACACATCAAGACTTTTTTCTGTTTGTCGTAACATTTTATTCTACTGAAATACTTGGGACATAAACCCAGAACTGCTCTGGGAGTGTCGTGTTTGAAACAATACGACACGCCTGTTGACTCAACATAGAAACACAACCTTTAAACTACTGATGGTGGAACTGATCGCCAGGTATTGCATCAACTTCAGGTTGGACAAGGATCGTTAGATCATTGCATGTTGCTCAGTCACATTTGGATAATCTGAGCATTTCAGCCCAGGGCTGGGTCCAAATATCATTTTATCTGTATTTTCACATGATAGGTTTAATGATGGTAGAAACGGTCTGGAGAAATCTATTATTCTGGCTTCATTAGCAAGGAGTTCCCACGATCCTGTTGGTTCTTTCACAAAAAACTGACATTTGAAGAATTTTAAAATATTCAGGTCTTTCTGTGAAGAAAATTCCCACAAATGTGAAAAAATGAAAAATGTTTTTAAGATTTGAAATATGTGATTTTTTTTTTCTTCATCTCTCAAAAAAACATCTGATTGAGCAAATTTTACTTCCCAGAAGTATAATGATAATTAGCTACTTTTAAGGAAAAAGCTTTCATATGTGATGCCTGTATAACTGTATATATCCCATCATGCACCTTCTTCTTCTTCTTTGACTATTTGAGCTGATGGAACGAGTTCATTCCTCCACCCTTAGATCAATGAAGTCAATCAATCAATCAGGTGGGATATACAGTATATAAAATGCCGACTAAAGATGACAATACAATGTTTTTACAGGACACCGTTAAAAGTAATAGATAATAGACACCCCTTAATTAAGAAACAAATGTACATGGAAATGGAAATTTGACATAAAGTGAAGCTTTTGCTGAAACTTCTATGAGCTGATCAGCAGAGATTTCCTCATCCAGGGTCGGAGTTCATGACCTAAATATGAAGAAGAGACCCGGGAAAATTCAATCCATGGAGATTTAAAAAGTTATCCTGAGCTATCGCTATAGCTATGCTGCTATAGGCTAAAGGCTGATTTATACTTTGAAACCAGGTGGTCTGTGTCACAGTTAACACTGCTGCTCCTCTCCAAAACTGTAGGTGACCGCAGACAGGAGGCCTCTGATTGGTCAAATCTACATCGCTCTACTCTATGCGTATTTGCTGTTTGGTTCCTTACCGGCTTGTTTTGTTTGTCTGACCGCCATTTTGGAAAGCGACTGATGAAGATGGAGCAGCTAGAAGAGCGGGGCGAGAACGCTGGGACCCTTTTTCCACCTGGATCCCCGCTCTTTTTGGCCCTCATGTCCCTCCGTTGTCGCACAAACTTGCCTCCACTTCCTCTCCACCTCGGCCGTATCTAGACCCACAGCTAGTTCCTGATTGGCCCTCTGGCGTTGTGGCGTGGAATAACATAGCGCAGACCACGCTTCAATATTGGACAGAAATCAACAATATCTGCGTCACACTGCTGCGGGAGGAGAACCAGACCTTTAGACTGCTGGAGGACATAGGGACCCCTTTTTCATCATTCTGCTTCATTCTATCTCTATTCTCCCACTCTGCAGAATCTGTTAGTTCAATCTCTAACGTTCTGCTCTCTCTGCTTTTTCTCATCGTAGCTTCATCTGGTCTGTTCCTGTTTGGCTGTGACTCCATCCTGGAGAGAAATATCAGCTGTGCTGCTGCCATCAACACCTTTGTTTCTAGATGTTGGAGCTTGGCCTGTTTTCCAGTGTAGTCCTGTTTCTCTGACTGTGACTAACTGGATGTGCTCTCTTCATCCTCTGACATGGGAGCTGGCTCGGAGCTCGTCTGCCTGGCTGTGTGTTTCCTGGACGGGGCCGCCTGTGGAGCTGGTTGACAGTTGCCTTTTGTATCTATGCTTCTTTTTCTATGTCTGCTTCTGTCTCCTTGAACCCCAGTGGGCCTCAGCAGATGGCCGCTCACACTGAGCCTGGTTCTGCTGGAGGTTTCTTCCTGTTCAAAGGGAGTTTTTCCTCTCCACTGTCGCTACAAGCATGCTTAGTGTGAGGGATTGCTGAAGAGTCAATGAGTCGATGCAATCAGCTGGTTTTCCTTAGATAGAAAACTTTGAATCAATCTGACTGGATGATCTGGTGAACTGGAAAGTGACCTGAGATGACATGATGTGAATTGGAGCTATAGAAATAAACTGAATAGAATTTAACTAAATTGAAAAGTGGGACTCGATGGACGTTTTTCAAATATCTTATATCTGTTGTAAAACCTACATTTCAGATGAGAGATATTTAGATTGGTGGTGGTAGTGTGATGCTGCGGGTCAGTTACTATTAGAGGCATTCATTCAGCGTTTTACTACAAAATCTACATTTTGTGACATGAATGGCATTTTTCCACGGCAGGCCACTTACAAAAAAAAGAAAAAGTTTTTATCTTGCCAGAAATTCCTCCACTGCAAAGAGGAAGACATGTTATCACTTGATGGAGGTTGTTGTTAACAAGTGCAGCACAACCAGTAATTAGGTTTCTACTTTTCTGCATATGAAGGATTTTTCCTTATGAAAACATATTTTCTTTTCTAATTAAAGCAATTATATTTTTCTCTTATTAAAATTAGTTTGAAACATCAAATTGTGACAAAAAGTCTAAATCTTTGAGGTGGGAACTGTTTAGGACCTTATGTGGATTTAGTGGTCAGAAAAATCCCAACCAAGTGACTGATTTGCAGCAAGCAGCCTGTAACTAGAAGTCATTTTTTGGGCCTAATTTTTACCTATTGAGCAAGAAATATATTTATGTTTGTAGTTTTTCATTTCTTTTATTGATATCTTTTAGATTTGTCTTGGGACAGGAAAGGCTGCAGTAACAGGAATCCTTAAATGTCCCATAAGGCTAAGAAGTGGCATTAGATAAACTTCCAGCATCGTCTGTTTCTAATAAAGTAAATCATTGTAGCCTGTGATAGCATCCTGCTTTATCAGGCTCAGTAGTGTTCTTTGACAAACATGGATGCCTCCAGTAAAGCACATTCACATGAAAATTACTCTGAATTAAAAACACTGATCATTTATTGAACAGGATGGAATCATTTCAGATTTAAAGAACTTTCAGAAGCTTTTATTCTGAATCTGAGGGACTTTTCCTTTAACTGTATGACTGTGATGAAAAAGGCTGTTGTATGGCACTCCCTTTCTTATTTATTCTTTAGAATGCTTTCGAATTATATAAAAGAATTAGTCTTTTAATCTCCTTGTTCTTGTTAAGATTACTATGAAGCACTTAAAACAAAATTATTAAATTAGTCACTGTTAAATCCTGTTGGTATTGTTCAGCTAACCAAGTCTACACCCCTTTAAGGAAAGGTGAAATTCGTAGGAATCCAGATGCAAAGCATGACTAATAATTGGGCGCACAGCCACGGGTCTGAGCGACGGTCCTTTTCCGGGCGTCGCAGTAGGAGGGCCTGATGAGAACAATTACAATAATGATGGCTTCATTCCATTCAGCAGCTTCATCGCTGTCGACTTTAAGCAAAGGGCTACTTATTACATCCTGTTTAACAAAAAGCTAATTTTATTTCTGCTTTCTTTCTCATAAATGTGTTTGGTAGTAAAATAGCAAACAATTAAAGTCATTAATTGTAGGAATGAACAGAATCAGCTTCATTGTTCCGTCTGTTCATTATTACAAACAAGGTGTTTGTTTGGTTTTTGTGCTTATTTAGCAAAAATTGGCTATTTTTGACATCTTGGGGAAAAAAGTACAGCAGGTTTTAGAGCAAAGATAAACGTATTATATACACTCACCGGCCACTTTATTAGGTGCACCTGTCCAACTGCTCGTTAACACTTAATTTCTAAGCAGCCAATCACATGGCGGCAACTCAGTGCATTTAGGCATGTAGACATGGTCAAGACAATCTCCTGCAGTTCAAACCGAGCATCAGTATGGAGAAGAAAGGTGATTTGAGTGACTTTGAACGTGGCATGATTGTTGGTGCCAGAAGAGCTGGTCTGAGTATTTCAGAAACTGCTGATCTACTGGGATTTTCACGGACAACCATCTCTAGGGTTTACAGAGAATAGTCCGAAAAAGAAAAAACATCCAGTGAGCGGCAGTTCTGTGGGCGGAAATGCCTTGTTGATGCCAGAGGTCAGAGGAGAATGGCCAGACTGGTTGGAGCTGATAGAGGGGCAACAGTGACTCAAATAACCACCCGTTACAACCAAGGTGGGCAGAAGAGCATCTCTGAACGCACAGTACGTGGAACTTTGAGGCAGATGGGCTACAGCAGCAGAAGACCACACCGGGTGCCACTCCTTTCAGCTAAGAACAGGAAACTGAGGCTACAATTTGCACAAGCTCATGGAAATTGGACAATAGAAGATTGGAAAAACGGTGCCTGGTCTGATGAGTCTCGATTTCTGCTGCGACATTCGGATGGTAGGGTCAGAATTTGGCGTCTACAACATGAAAGCATGGATCCATCCTGCCTTGTATCAACGGTTCAGGCTGGTGGTGGTGGTGTCATGGTGTGGGGAATATTTTCTTGGCACTCTTTGGGCCCCTTGGTACCAATTGAGCATCGTTGCAACGCCACATCCTACCTGAGTATTGTCTCTGACCATGTCCATCCCTTTATGACCACAATGTACCCAACTTCTGATGGCTACTTTCAGCAGGATAATGCGCCATGTCATAAAGCTGGAATCATCTCAGACTGGTTTCTTGAACATGACAATGAGTTCACTGTACTCAAATGGCCTCCACAGTCACCAGATCTCAATCCAATAGAGCATCTTCTTTATATATATATATATTATATTTAATACAAAAATCAAATGATGGGTAAATACTGATGGCCATCTTGTTGCGTCTTGTATCATTCTGGCATCTTGGTAATTTTTTGTAGATGTATCTTCTTAGCTGTTTTTTTTCTGGCATGAATATATCATTCCGTTGTGCGATGCACTATTACTCCTGGCACATCTACATTTATCCCAGCTGTGGAACGCACTTCCTACTTTTCTAGACACAGTTTCTGTGATTGTGAATGAAAAGGTTACGTTTGTCTCCTTCAATGCTAACGCTTCTCTATAGAAGGCATCTATCAGAGCGACTCCCAGACTCATTGATCGTGATGAAAATTATTATTTTTATATTTTACCGATTAACGCTAAATTAATGAAATCACTGCAAACATGTTAGTTTTAGGTATAAATAATGATCCATTGATTTTTCCTCCCTGACCGAACTTTAACGATCCTCTTCTGTTCCTGAAGTTAAAGTTAATTTCTTTTAGTTTCTGGTCTTCTGCTTTCTGGTAAGAAATCAGCATAATAGGGGGAGTGATGGCCTACTGGTTAGAGCAGCGTTCTGAGCTCTGAGAAGGTTGAAGTAACCGGTTCCATCCCCACAGCCTCCACTCTGGGTCCCCGAGTAAGACCTTTAACCCCACACTGCTCCCCCGGGTGCTGCACGATGGCAGCCCACTGCTCCCCAAGGGGGAGGGGTTAAATGCAGAGAGGGACTTTCTCCAGTGTGAGACAATAAAACCCGTCCAGGTTTAACTGATGGACTTTTCTTAGAGTCGGCCCAATAAATGTCAGAACAACATTCCTTCATTTTGACGAGAGCAAGAAAACCAGTTACACAAAACAACTGTAGCTATGGCAACTATGATAGACGTTTAGCATGAGGACAACTGGAGCAAAATAACTTTCTGATCCTGATCCTAACAGGTGAAAATGTTCCGGAAGCACAGTAAACATACACAGTATATACGCTTTGAGCAGGAAGATTACAATAAAGCAACTTTGCAGTTTAAAGACAAACTGTGACTAAAGGAAAAATCATCTGTTCTGCAAACCTAACATTATAAAAACTGATTTTTAAATTTGAGAGAGAGATTAATCTTCCACCATGCTGACACAGTTTGTGCTCGGCCGTCCAGGAATCCTTGCAAACCAACAGTTTTTAAAATAAAAGTCTAGCAGCTTAAATGGAAGCCGTCCATGCTGCGCGTGTCTCTGGCAGGAGGGTGTGTCTGCAGCCCAGGATTTAAACTTCTCCACTCAAAGCCTGCTTCTCATTGTTGCTTCTCCACTCTGCATTCTCACACTTCTGCTCCCACTGAACTGAGTGAGTTTCTCTGCTTTTGGTTTGTTTCTATGTTTTGGTTTCATACCGTTGGTTCGCTTTGATTGATTCAAAAGTGGTTTTCATGGCCAGTGTAGATTTTTATCTGGTAATAAGCTTCTCATTATTAGAACCGTAGATTGTTTTGTCTTTATGCATTATTGGAAGGTGCTTTCTTAATTCATATTCTTCACTCCTATTGGTGTGAAACAGCAACAGAGAACATTTAAAACAAACTAACTGTAGCCTAATAAGTCCCGGCCAAAGTTTTTATTCTAGCTGCTTTTTCATTGACATTTTGTGGTTGGAATAAATGTTCCTCCGAGGCAAACGGGTCATGAGTGCATGAGGAATGTGTATCAGCTCCTTTATAAAAGATGAATAATCTGACTTTTACAATCAGCAGTTCAACAGTTCATCTACTGAAGGTGGCGAGGAAACGAATGCTTCAGAAATAGGAGGGAAATTTAACAACCAGAACTGGATTGAAAATAAATTTTTTTAACCCTATAATGCCAAATGTATCATATTTGATACGTACGGTTTCTGAAATGTTTTGCGTCTGACACCTTTTGCATAATTTAATGGTAAAAACTTTGCTCAAAATCCTATTGTACACAATCAGATATACCTGATAACAGCCAGTAGAAGACGACACAAAAAATAATCTTGACTTATCGCATAGTAATAAATTATTAATATCAAAAATGTATTTCTGTTTTTTCTTCTTACATATTGTGTTAAAAGGCCAAATAAGGACTTCAAACCAAAAAAAAAAGTAATTTTCTGTTTTGTTTTATTCTTGGATCGGGCTTTAAAGGGTTAATGACACAACCACAAACCTCAGGGTTTATTATTTTGGATTTCATCAGATTGAAAACTCCATAATAGTCAATTGAGATCTTTTCTTTCTTGAATAGAAATGTAAATGATATTTATAGATATCTAACTCTTCAGAGTCACTATCTTGTAGAACCACATTTTTCTGCAGTACGAACCCCTTCAGGGTATATTTCTGTTCATCTTAGATTTACATCTTTATTTTCCGTCTCTTCTTTGTAAAATAACTAAAGATGAGTGAGATTGAACGGGGGTAATCTGTAAACATTAATCTCCAGGGTTTTATCGCAGATGTAATGGTCTAGTCAAAGCCCAGATCTAACCAGTGGTGGACAAAGTACTCGATGGTAGTACTTGAGTAAAAGTATTAATACTCATAGCCAAATATTACTCGACTACAAGTAAAAGTCACTTGATCAAACATCTACTCAAGATAAAGTATTGAAGTACTCAGTTTTAGAAATTAAGTATTCAAAAGTAAATACGTTTAAAAGTACTCAAGTATTCAAAATAAAACTAAAATTTTCTAATATCGGAACATTTCTGTATAATTTCAGAGTAATTTTATAAAACCTTTAACTTTCAGAAACCTGATGAATTGATGCGTAGAACCACCTGCTATAGATTCTACACCATCTGCAAAGAACTGAAGTATAAAAATGACACGAAAAATAAGGACAGATATTTAGATTATTTCCTATTTAAAAATAAATCAGAAATAAATCAGTAGTCTTAATTCTTCCCACACTTTTATGATGGAATTGAGCTTAAAGGCTGAATCTATTAACCAGATTACTACTGAATAACGTAGCAACATGACAATAATTCACAGCTTGACAAAATTTATAAACTACTAATATCTGCCCTGACTTCCTCACATTTATAAAAATTGAACTTTATTGATCTCACAATTCACTCTCTGCGTTTAACCCCTCCTCTTGGGAAGCAGGGTGGGGTTAAAGGTCTTGCTCAGGGACCCAGAGTGGCAGTCTGTCGGAGTCGGGCTTAAACTCAGAACCTCTGGATTCCAAGCTCTACACCCCAACCACCACGCTGCCCCTCCCCCTGTGGAACGCCATTAAATCTCTAAGTCAGTGGCGTCCATATTGAGCCCTAAGGGCTGCCATGATGCCGATTAAAAAGCTAAGGAACTATTAACCTAGAAATGTAGGAGTTGAAAGTTAAAAGTAAAAAGTATTTAGGAAAAGTAACCAAGTAGATTTACTTAGTTACTTTCCACCACTGGATCTAGCATCTTTATGCTTTAATGGTAGTGCTCCCATCCTGTGCCACTGCCCTGCTAGGTTTAGGTGTCTCCTCGATTGCACGCACCTGACTTGTCGTGCAGGAATGATTAATAGGCTTCTGCAGAACGCGATGGCTGCAGACGACGTCACTCAGTCATTTGAATCAGGCGTGCTGGAACAGACAGACATCTAAAACATGTGGGGCAGAGCTAGTGGAGGAACAGGTTTGAGAACAATTGAGCTTAACTCTTCCGTCGCACCTCCGGCTCCATGTTTAGGGTTCAAATTTAGATTCAACATATTTAGCTTAAAAACAAAAACAATCAGCTCTGTCAGTTTCCTTTATTTATTGAAGAAACTCTGCCGGTAGTTCAGGATCAGGAGAACCAGAGCCTCTGGAGGGGAGAGAACAGGTTGAGATGGATCATTCAAAGTTCTGCTAAGCCACTAACCCTCTTTGATTTCCAGGTGGGGTGTCTTGGTTCCTGAAAACTTTGGTTCCTTGACAGTTATTTCTCACTCAGGCTTGGCAGGTAATCGTGGTCAAAGGAGGTCCAGGGTCAGAGCCAGGTGATCAGATACAGAAACAGGCAGTGTTGGGCAAGCTACTTGTCTAGTGTAGTGAGCTAAGCTATCAGTTACTCAGCAATAAATGAAGCTTCACTACACCAAAGCTACCACCTAAAGAATTATAGCAAGCTAAGTTACACTAATGTGTTAAAAGTAGCTTAACTACATCAGAAGCTACTTAACGTTGTACCAACCTAATGTCAATTCAAAATGAGTCTGACACACTAGTTAAAATATTTATTAAAGATCAGCCAATGACATATCACAGTGTAAACATTGCTTTATGATCAGCATAATAAAAAAAAACTAAAGTAATTACTAATAGACAAACTAGTAAACAATCTGCTGTTATTAGAACCAAATGAATGTGTAGTGTTCTACACATCGAGACATGGCTATGAGTTAACATTCAATGGACATCAATGGGAAAACAAAACCCTACAAAAGGCATCTGATTTCTTTAGGGTCTCCCTTAGAGAAAACTTCTTCAGACGTCAATTAAACAGTCGATTCAAGTAACAAATGAAACAGTTTACAAAAAAGGTGAAAAAATAAATAAGCTAATTAAGTGATACATATATTTATGTCTCACCATATAATTTCATTTCTACCTACATATTTATTCATTGTATATTTGGGGGCAATTAATTAAATGCTTATTTATTTATTTATTGAGCATTTATTTATTTATGTATTTATTTTATATACGGTAGAGCTGTTTCTCCATACGTAAAAAATCTTATCTGTGCAAATAAGCCTAAAAACAGATTTATGTAAACATCCTGTCAGGTAAACTAGGCCATGAAAATACAATATGGAAGTTTCACTACTGCTCTCTAATTAGAGGATCTTAGTGGCACAAATGGGAGAATTATCCTGCCATAATGCAAGAGCACATCATTTCAAGTTGAGAAAAGAATTTCATCTTCTTGCTCTCAAAACTTATAATGCTCACACTCAAAACATGCGCTCTCTCTCAAATATTTTCTCTTCTCTCTTAAATCTTTGTTTCTTCTCTCAGATTTAATGCTTCTTGCACAGATATTTTCTCCTCGTTTGCCTCCTTCTCTTCGCGCACAAACCGCGCTCTGTTACGCTCGCAAACCCGTAGGCTCTGCTTGCGGATTTGTTTTGCTCTCTCAGACTACAGTTGGATCGTCGCCTAGCAACCTTTCCAGCCAATAGAACGACAGCCTCGGAAAGGGTGCGCTTGTTTAACCCTACTGAGTGTGCCTGTGCTACTACGCCTCTTATAAGAGCATCAGCTGAAACTGCTATTTACAGTAGTTTTGTGGCTGATTGTTGTTTAGAAATAGAAAACCTGGTTTCATTTCTTAGTTATGCCCTGGATTTTGTAGCGTTTGTGGACGCTACGTCGCTACTTGATCAAAACAATAACGTCGCTACAGGAAAGTTACTTGATAAATAAAGCAGCGACACTACGGTCAAGCTACTGGAAGATGTAGTTAAACTAATAGCTTCGCTACATGTAGCGGCGCTACTGCCCATCACTGGAAACAGGTCTGGGATCCAGGCTGCACAAAAAACAGACCCAACAGGGGCTGGGCAGGCTCAATAATCAGGTAGACAGACAGAGAACAATGCTGGATGCTTACTAACCAAGGCTTTCAGTAATCTGGCACTGTTAACTAGTCAGAGGCCTGCTTAAGAAGTCTGGCAAACAGGTGAGAGAAATCAGTGGTAATCAGGCTGAGCAGCAGCAGCACAGGAAGGCCAAATGAGCAGGCAGAGCAGCATGTCTGATCATAGGTGGATTAATGACCGGGCCTACCGGGCCCAGGCCCAGGGGGCCAGAGGCCCCAAGGGGCCAGGCCAACATGGCCCCGCGGCCGCGACCCAAGCAAAACTACTTTTGCAAAAATAATAATCTTAGGCCCCAAGGGGCCAGGCCAACTTGGCCCCGCGGCCACGATCCATAGAGGGTAAGAGGCCCCAAGGGGCCATGATCCATAGAGGGTAAGAGGCCCCAAGGGGCCAGGTCAACTTGGCTCCGCGGCCATGATCCATAGAGGGTAAGAGGCCCCAAGGGGTCAGGCCAACATGGCCCCGCGGCCACGATCCATAGAGGGTCAGAGGCCCCAGGGGGCCAGGTCAACTTGGCCCCGCGGCCACGATCCATAGACGGTCAGAGGCCCCAAGGGGCCAGGCCAACTTGGCCCCGCGGCCACGACCCACAGAAGGCCAGAGGCCCCAAAGGGCCAGGCCAACTTGGCCCCGCGGCCGCAAGCCACAGAAGGCCAGAGGCCCCAAGTGGCCAGGTCAACTTGACCCCGCGGCCACGACCCACAGAGGGCCTGAGGTCCTAAGGGGTCAGGCCAACTTGGC